TAATCAATATAGTAATAAGCATCCAAACAATTTTCATGCACTGGAGGTGAAAATTACCGAACAATTTGCAAACACTTGATAGAAATAATGTAATGTCTTTGTTTTGGAGGACTTTAAGTTGTGCTATACCAGTGTTTCTCAACCACATTCTTGGATGACCACCGACACAGCATGTGTTGGCTGTCTTCTTTGTCTGTTACACCTTTCAATCTCTACTAATAAGCTGATGATCTGAATCAGGTGTGTTTGGTTTAGGAAACATGGAAAATGTGCAGAGCTGGTCATCCTTCAGGAACATGGCTGGGAAACACTGTGCTATACTATACTTTTAAAAGAGTTTGTTACAAAATAACTAAGACACTTCAACAAAAATCTTTCATTTTTTCGAAACACATGTAAATGACACAGGCATATCTAATAGCTCATGTGTTAGCTATTATTTTGCAAATATTTTAAGCATATTGGCAGGTTTGATGAATCCCCATTGGCTCCCCGTGAAGCACACGTTGGTAATGCTCCAGATTACACAGAAGAATAAAGACCCAGGCTGTCAATGTGTTGCTATGCTTACTACTAATGTTTTAAGGTAGCACATTTTTCAAAAGTGTGACTGGAACTAGCTGTGTGTTAGATGATTTTATTGCACATCTTTCAGCCAATCACAATCAAGAATTTTAGCTGACCATGGCCTAAGTATACTATATGTAACTTATGAACTATGCTCAAAATCTGCTCTTTCGCCTGTTTGGATAACATCAGCAGGACTAAAATCAAAATTTAGGAAATTGTAGGTTGTTCTCTAATTTTAATCTCCATTGTATTTCTCTACGTGGAGTGTTGGGTGCTTCTAGCATTTTTCCAATGTCAATTCTAGTATACCATAGTGATTAAAAGAAAAGGTCATCTATACAGTACAAATAACATACATCACTACAGAAAAACATCATGTTTGTAAATAAAAAATGAACTGAAATCTTCAGGTTTACCTCTCTTTGCTCCTCCTATCCAAGAGATATATGTGCCTTAATAAACCCTGAACACTGTAAAGCACCGTTCACTTCCTTAAAACCCAGATTTTTATCAGTTTGTAGCATTTCTGTAGCATATGACCACACATATCTCATATCATAGTGCCCCTGACGGTTCACGTAAAGGGATAGTTCACCCAAAAGTTCAATTTCAGTTAATCTACTCTCTTCAATACAAGATGTAGGTGACTTTTTCTTTTGAGGAGAACATTAAAGAAGATTTTTAACTGAATTCATGGACCTTATTTGTTCATATAATGCAAGTCATAAACACCTGTTTTTGCGATTAGAAATGAACATGATGTCTTATGAAGCAATAAATTGAACATCGTTTATAATATTATTAGCTGTAATAGTTCTTGGCGTGTGCATGAGTGTAGTATCCGCATCTTGAACAATCACAGGTAAGAACCATTTTGGCAAAAACTGCATCCTCACTGTCGTCACCACGTATCTGTGTGCACACTTATGCATGTGTCACTGCATGTGAAGCCTCTGTTAAAAACCCTCATCTAACACCTACTGGATGCTCAAATCAACAGGCAACTGGATTGTAACGTATGTTGCTGGGTTGAGGTCAAAAACTGTTTAAGGATTGAATATTCACCAAACAAATACCAGGAGTTTCAACAGGAGTTTCAATAAAATGGGAGGGTGGTTGGAGATGGATGTGAATTACGGGAGATTCCCGGGAAAAACAGGAGTGTTGGCAGGTTTGCTGTTTAAGTGTAGTCAGTTAACTGTATTTTTTATTTTTTTGGGTGAACTCTCCCTTAAAAAATGTGATTACTTTGGCTTTGTTTGAAACACTTAATCTCTAAAGCCCAAATTATACTTCAGTTTTTAAATATAAAAGTGCGCTATGAAGAGTTTTTGTTGTTATAATTTTTGGAGAGAAAAGGCAGAGATAGTAGATGAGGCAATGCAATCTCATTGCAATTCGTAACTATGATTTAGTGGCTAATTTGTATTGATTTGTACCATCTTGAGGCGTGGGGTTTGGGAACACGGTGACTTTTAAAATCCTACATTTTGTATAAATTAGCCACTTTTCTGATAAATTAGTTAGGTTTCCTCATGAGATCGGGCTGGATGAGACTGAATCTTTTTAGTGTGCATGTTAGGGTGCAGATGTGCTTGTACACTCCATCAAATGAAGTATACTTTGAAAGACTCTATATTCAACAAAATGATATGCACAGCTACACCATAAGGCATTTTATTTGAATGTCATAAACTGCATTGCTATCTGGTTATTAGATTCTCTGTTAAACATCCGTCTGCTCTTAATTAGAGTATCAAAAAGTCAGATAAGCATCTCTTCCTGATGTAGTTGTAGGCAAAAAATGTATTTTCTTTATTTACGACGTGTAACGGGTTTCCTGCCATTAACAACATTAAGTTAAATGGTTAAAAGCTTTTTTTTAAGACCAATAGGAGATGAGTTGTAAATGTAAATGGCCTCTTTTTTATTATAAATAATATCTGATCATTTGAGCTTCCTTGATGTGTAAGGCTGCAGCAAACACTGGGAAGTTAGACTTGTTGACAATCATATGTATAGTAAAAGAGAATATATACTTAGGGCTACAGCAGCTAGACAATATGTACAGCATGTATGTTTTATTTATTTTTTAGTATAATTCGTTTTTGTAAATGTATGTTAAACTCTGAAACAGTTTGATTGTGAAATATCTTGTATTATATTGCTGTTGCAGAATGTTTAGTGTTTTTTTTCCATTTTAAAGCGCTGCAATGTTTATGGCCTGAGTGACTACTGTGTAAATAATTGAATTACTGTATATAGTGGCACTGTAGGTTATTTTTTTTGACATGGAAGCAGTCTATTGTGTATTAGAATTAAAATAAATTGTTGTATATTTGTGCGTCTTTGAAGCCTCATTGTACAACACGTCCAAATCTTTACTCTTCTTTTAAAAGTTTCTTTTTTATATACAATAATTCTTTCATCTCATGACATAAACGCATATGTCACCTCAACATAAGAGCATTGTAAAAATGTTAGCACACATTTATGCTTTTTTCTTTTGTTTTAAGTTTTTATGGGTGTTTCCCGGTGATGGGTTGCAGCTGGAGGGGCATCCGTTGTGTAAAACATGTGCTGGATATGATGGTGCTTCATTCTGCCGTGGCGACCTCTAAGTGATAAAGGCCGAAAAGAAAATGAAGGAATGAATGAATGGATGTATTTTGTTTTATAAATAAGGGTGTTCGCTTTTATTTTGAAATTAATCAAGTTTCACATTTTACTGTTTTGATTTCTACTTCATAGGTTAATTCATGTCAACCAGAAATTTAAGAAATTTAAACTGTGATGCATTAAAATACTGTAGTAATTCATAGTTAATTCTACAGTGTTTTTGAAACATACGACCTTATATTGTATATATTATAGTATTTACTACCTTCTGTTGACGAATGCTACAGTATACTGTACTAACTGTAGTTAGCTGATATGCATTACGTATATGCTGTAGTAAACTTAAGATTTTACTACAGTATGTGTTTGTGCAGGAGAGAAGGCAAAAAGCAATTCCAGGCAGGGCCAATTCGGTGGCTAGAGCCACTGCCCCTCTGCCCTCAGTGGCTGAGGTGTCCCTCCCTACTGCATATATTGCATATAAGTGAACCCTTTATCTTGTCAGTGTAAAATGAAATACAATAAATTCACAAACAAAATCAAGTTCACAAATACTCTTGATTAGCCATATGTGTAATATTTGCAAGTGCAGTATGAAAGGAACATTCCACCATTCATGGGGGCCCCTGGTTTTGAAAATAAGTATGGTTATAGACGGATGTGATGGAAATATGATAGAAAAGTTATAAAATAGCTATATGATTACAGTTTTTCTCAGTCACTTTGTTGCATTTCTCACAACAGCATTTTCATTTGTACAACAGTTAATGCATTTCTCAAAACAATAAGTTTGAAATTTATGCACACATCATAGTAGCAGTTTCCTATTCCTTTCAACAAATTGCAAATACTTTGGACATACATTATTTGCTTTCATACAACTCTCTGCTGTTTTATAACATTATCATTTGCTTTTGTCATGTCAGTCAAAATGAACTTAACTTGTAAATGCTGAATAGTCATTCCATTTAAAACTAATAGTCCTCATTTCATTACTTGTGTCTACAAAAATGTTGAACTAGTTGTCAAAATCTGTCAAGAAAATTTTATTAAACAATTTTAATCTTTTTTCCCCCCCCAAAAATGTCTTCTAAATTGAACAATTTCATGAATGATTTACAGCCCTGTGTATGTTGTCGGTTCAGTTCCAATATGTACTGCAATATTGTGTACAGTGGTGACTAACACTTTAATTGACATCAATACTTGCTTTTGAGGAATGAGCTATCTATTTTGAGCGAGTGACATGCTATCAACTAGGTTTTGCTTTTTGTACTAATTGTTTTGAGAAATGCATTAACTTTTGTGCAAGTGTAAATAGTGTTGTGAGAAATGCACCAAAGCCACTGAGAAAAACTGTATAATAGACTGCTTACAATTGGTCGGGGCCAATGACTGTAAAAGGCACCCCCTAAATCCCTGGGGCCTAAGCGGCTGCTGACCTCGCTTATTGGTTAAGTCCACTCCAGTATGTCTGTGTGCTGTATTGTATGGAGGACCAAATAAAAATAAATGCAGATGGACAGACGGACAGATAGAAAGATAGACAGACAGACAGACAGACAGACAGATAGATAGATAGATCACATAATAAGAAATATTGTATTTAAATAAAAATTTAATCCTAAATTAACTTCATTTATTATTATCTCCATGTATTTTAATATATATTTTATTCGTTCACAATTTATTTTATTTGTTATTTTTATTTATGTTTTCTGCATATTTATTTTTGTTTTTATTTATTCCTGCGTTAATTTATTTCCATGTTCATTTATTTGTGTTTGGACTTTTTACTTTTACGTACGTCGTAAGTAAATTGCGTCGTGCGTCACACCCGGTCACTAAAAATGGCGTCTAAGCGTCCCTTTACCGAAGAGGAGTTTTCTTGTCCGGTGTGCCGCGATGTCTTCACGCATCCCGTAGTGCTTACCTGTGGGCACAGCTTCTGCAGAGGGTGTATTGAGGAGTTCTGGAACTTTAACAAAACGAGAAGGTGTCCGGTTTGCCGACAAACTACAGAAAGAGAGCCATCCCTTAACTTCACCCTCAGAAACCTGTGCCAGTCGTTTGTGAACCACAGAAGGTTTCTGGAGGAGCACTGTGAGGTTCACCAGCTGAGGAAGACTCTGGTTTGCTGTGAAGACGAGCAGCTGATGTGCGAAGGCTGTAGAGACACCGAAAAACACAAAAACCACACATACCGTTCAGTGCAAGAGGTCGCAAGGGAACGCAAGGTATGATCATGTGTCGACACTGTATTAATCCCATTATGATAACTTACTTCATGATCCAATAAGTCTCATTAGCAGCTGACTTTTAAAGTAAGTTACAACATAATTCAAGAGTAAATAAAATAGTGCTAGCGTAGTAAGCAATTTATGGACCAATATAGGAACTTCATAGATATAATTGTGTTTATCAGCTTTTTATACGTCGAGTTACGGTTACAAATATAACGTGTTGTGCTCAAAACTTTTATTATTGTCCTGTATTATGCTTTTCAGATTGTGCTGAGCTGTTTTATTGAACGCTAAGGTCCGAATATGCGAATATAAAACCAAACATATAAATAAATATCTATGATATAAAACTAACTTTACCCACATATGTACACTTAAGAATATGATTCCTCTGACTTAATAAAGACCATTAGAAGCCAAACAATGTTTTTTTGTTTCACCAATGCAAATTCATTATGAATTTACAAATATCTATTTAATAAAATCAGGAGCCTAAAATTGAAAATAGATTTCCAAGGGCAAAAAATTGTTTTCATGTAAGCTATGAAAACGGAGATTTGTGATTTCATGTGCATTATACTTGACTACATAAACAACAATAGCTACAATAGTTTTCATCAAAAGATGCTAATTATTTTACGCATAACTGGAATATCGCATATAAGACGTGCGAATAAAGCAGTGTTTCCATCCAAAAAAAGTCAAAGAGAACAAAATTGTCACTTCCTGATTAACTGCCGCCAAATATTAACAGTCAAAACTGAATGTGCTGCGATAGAAAAGCTGCGTGAATCTTCTAGTTATTTAATAAAGGAGTTGCGCCTCAGATGTAGGTATGGGACGATAACCGTTTTCAAGGTTTACCAAGGTTTGGTTTTAAAACCATCAAAATTTTCTGCCAAAACGTTCCTAAGGTATGTGTACGATTTTTTATTACATTTTTAAAAAAATTTTTTAGGACAACAGTATCTCCAGCAGAAAAAAAAAGTATCCAAAGATGCCGTTTTAAATTGTAAAGAAATCTGTGTTTTTGAAACTAATAAAGACAGCAGGAGTCTATGATTCATTTGAATTATTTAGCCTGACGTGTTTACTGCTCCAACATGTCTTAAATATTTATCAAAATAAAATATATTGTGCTCAAAGGAGAAAAAAAGTTTTTGTTTTTATCCAAACATCTAAAAAGGATATATTTTAGAGCAGTAATCGTTTTACCGTAAAACCGTGATATTTTTATCCAAGGATATCATACTGTCACAATCTTATACCGGCCCAAGCCCACTCAGATGACAGTGTGCCGACAAGCAATGAACACATGGTGGCATTTGAAGTAATTAATAATAATAACACTAATATTGAAATAGTGTTTTAGAATGACCAAAACAACATCCCAGATGTTTTACAGTGTTCTTAGTCTGCTGGTTTGTCCATTCACACACATTTTTATTATCTCATGATCCCTTCTAACAAAATCACATGACTTTTTTAATGCACATATTGGAATTTGTTCGGTAAAATTGTTTCCATTAGAGTTTATGCGCATCTTTTTTTATTGAATAAAAAGTGTATCCTACTCGGTTATGCGCATGTTTTTATGAGAATTTTTAAAATTTGTGCATTCAAAATGTGCTTAAAAATAGGTGAATGGAAACATAGCTAGTGATGAGCTACAGGACTGAATGTGTCGCCCTCTACTGCCCTGGCACAGATCTGCTTTTACAGAGGCCAATCTAAAGCTGCCTTTCCACTGCACATGACATTTGGACACGACTGTCAAAATACGCCCCCTTGTGGCTGTCACACAGAATTTTCAGTCTTGTTGTGCACCATGGAAGAGAAGCTAATTCTTGTGGTGTCCACAAAAAAGTGCAAAAAGAGCCTTTATTCCCCATGCGTTCACCATGGTTGAATGAATAGATTCTCATAGAGCTGCTAAAAATTTTGGTGGGAATATGGAGACGACAAAAAAAAAAAAAAAAAAAAAAAAATTATATATATATATATATATATATATATATATATATATATATATATATATATATATATATATATATATATATATAACTACTCCTTTATAAATAGAAATGCTTTTTTAATATAGATTTTTACAATAAAAAAACAATGAAAAAAAAATATGGGCGCATGGACCTGCCTGGAAAACTCTGGAATGCATCACATTTGGTCGGCCGGTCACATACGGTCTAGTCGCAGGAGTTCAAATATTTCAATATATCCGCAGCTCAAATAGGATCAGAAATTTTTTGCGTACAGAGATGATCGGAACTCCCGGACTACTCTCCATTGGAAATGAATGACTACCGGTCTGTCCCTTGTCTTTGTCGTATGCAGTGGAAAGGCGGCTTAACGGTGTTGTCATACGTTTAAGTAATTCATCAAACTCCCTCATAATTTCTGTTTCAAATTGTAGGAAGCTCTTCGATCACAGCTTGATTTATTCACAAATCAAAGGAAACATTTGCAGGATGCCAAAGCTGAGTTAAATTACAATTCTGACGACCTTTTGGTGAGTGTAAGCTTTTTGCTTTTACAATTACATTTTAATTTCTACTGTGAAACTTTGTCTTGTATATTATTAATAGTAGTATTAGAGTTCTGTAAAATGATGCTCAATTCTGTGAGAAGTCTTTAGTTAGCATTAAATTAACTCTGTCCACTTTGAATAGGACCAGTTGTGTTGTCTGTTAATAGTGATTGCATTATAGATGTCATTTAAAGTCATGTGTTTTGCTTGTTCAGAATAAGGCCAATTTCATTGCGAGAATGATCACGGAGCGATTTAAACATCTTCATAAACTTCTCGATGAAGAAAAAAATCGCTTGCATGATGAACTCAAACTGGAATTAGAAGAAAAGGACCAGAGGATCGAAGAGAAGGTTCAGCAGATGCAGAGCGACATCGTTTCCTTGTCTAGCAAAATCGTAAACTTCAGAACAGTTTTAGAATGTGGAGACATTGACATTGTTAACGTGAGCTCTTTATTATTATTATTATTATTTTGTCATTTTCTTTTTTAAGTGCTATTTTTAGAGCACAGATGTTCAGTAAAATAATTTAAATGGGTAATAATTTATCTATAACAATGGATTGATGGATATTAGGAAGCCTTCATTAACTATTATGTTGTACATTTTAGAGATTTAAAGAAACCGTCAGAAAAGTGTAAGTGTGATTTATTATTTTTATTATTATTATTATTGTTGTTGTTGTTTCCTCATGGCACCCTGTTGTTTATATGAAGTTTTGAAGCATCTGTGCACTTTTGTATTTTTATTTTTTTAGACCCCAGTGGCAGCCTCAGAATACAGACTCAACAGAACTCATCGACTCTGCCAAGTACATTGGCAACATTAATTTCAATGTTTGGAAGAAAATGAGAAGCCTTGCTCATTACAGTAAGTCACTCCATGTACAGTTGAAGTCAGAATTGTTAGCCCTCATGTTAAATTGCAATTATTTAAAAAATTTTCCCCAACTTCTGTTTAACTGGGAATTTTATTTGCAACAAATTTCTAAACAAAATAGTTTTAATAACTAACTTCTTATTACTGATTTCTTTTTGCCATGATGACAGTACATAATATTTGACAATGTTTACTATTTTACTAGTTTTTCAAGATGCTAGTATTTAGCTTAAAGTGCAACTTAAAGGCATAACTAGGGAAATCAGGGTAATTAGGCATGTCATTGTATAACGATGGTTTGTTCTGAAGACAATTGAAAAAAATATATTGCTTAAGGGGGCAAATAATTTTTACCTTAAAATGCTTTTTAAAAATTAAAAATCTGCTTTTATTCTAGCTAAAACAAAACAAATAAGACTTTCTCTTGAAGAAAAATATGATCGAAAATACTGTGAACATTTCCTTGCTCTAATAAATATCATTTGAGAATTATTTGAAGGATAAATATTTCACAGGAGGGCTAATATTTTTAGTTGACACCAGACAAGAAGTACTTGTGCTTTTAATCGTAAACATTTACTCTGTTCTATAACTCGCACTCAGGTCATTCCAGAGACTTAAGAAATGAATTTTCTCTTGGGGATACACATATACAGGTATTTGTATTCCAGTCAATTGGATTAATCCAAGTCTTGGTGAGCAGCCTTTCCGTGAAACACACAAATAAAAATACCTTAATTTATGTTCTGGACAAATTTCTTTTGGGTTCTGAAAAACATGAGGATGTGCAAATGATTGAATTCTGAGGACAGTGTCTCTTTAAGAACAATTGTACAATAAATATATATTTTTGTAGTTATATAGTTTTTCTTTAATGAAGGTACACCTAACAAAGATGTTTACATGCAAACATATTAAATACAACATATGCTGTAGTCCATATGGTTTTATGCTTTTAAAAATATTATTCTTAATGCATTGTTTAAATTAGCCGCTTAATGTGTATCAGGGTATCTGCCAGGCCTTAAAAAGTCTTAAATTTCAAAATCAAAATTTTAGGCCTTAAAAAGCTTTAAATTCACTGAAATATTGTCTTGTAGGTCATAAATTGTTTTAAACTGGTCTTAATTTTCTTTTTTTTTTTTAAAGCTACTTAATCAATCAGATACACGTCCAATCACCAAAAGTACATCTCCATAAAACGTTTATCAAAACTATATTCATAACTAATATTTTAAAAGCCTGCTGTGCATACAATTAGTTTTTAAAGTATTATTTATTATGTTCTTGTTGAAAAATGTATGTATACTACATCTAGGCTCTGCTTGTTTTGACATTATTTAAAATATGTGGCTAAAAAAATAACTGGAATGAATTTGAATTTGTTTTTTGATGGGGCAAGTCATTTGTTTTCTTCTGCTGGGCGATTTAAAAACTCCTTAGTGTCTTTATAAGTCTGAAATTTCTTTCTTAATGGTCTTAAATTTGGCTTGGTGAAACATGCAGAAACCCTGGTGTATAGAAAGTCTGCAAAGTTTTAAAGATCAAAAGTACATTTTTTTTATTTATTTATTTATAAAGAGTTATTGAACTATTAACTTGACTATTAACTATGAACCATAAACTTGCCAAAACGGTCGTCTTGAAATCAAGTTTAACCTAAACTTTGTCATTTGTTTATTTATTTGCAAAGATTAGTTTCAAACTATACTAATATTACCTTATGGTGATCAAAACCGTAATTAATAACCCTAAAAACCATTTAAAACTATTATTAATCAAATTATATTAAGTGTTTTGCTCTGATTTTATTCAAAATTACGGCATTTAAGTTCTTTTAACAATTTTGTTTTAAGTATATCAAGGTCCTAATGAAGTAAAAGGATTGATCTGTGCAATAACCTAAACAATATTACCCTTAATTAATGACCTCTGTAAAAACTGCTTTGTTTTGGCTAATGGCCCTTTTCCACTGAGTGGTATGGTAAGGTACGGTTCGGTACGCTTTTGTGGCTGTTTCCACTGTCAAAGGTTACCAAACAGTGAACCATACCACTTTTTGAGAACCTTTTCCAAAGGGTACCTAACACAACAAAATGGTGCCAAAAAGGAGAGCCAGACACGCAACTGAACATTATTGGTTTATAGAGATACGTCACTCGCTTGTGCACAAGCAGGAGAATGAAAACAAACAAAGCGCCATTTTTTTTTATTTACAAATGAGACATTACACCGTAATAATATATACATATAGTAATGAGCCATGGTTGATCTCAGCTTAAACAAACCTTGTTGTCATCTTGAAGAACAGCAGCAAATCCAAGAAGAAGAGAAGAATCAACTCTCTGCCTTGTTGTTGTTTACAAGGCCATCTAAAGCGCGAGCAGTTTAACTTTCTCGAGAGAGAGAGAGAGAGAAAGAGAGAGAGAGAGAGAGAGAGAGAGAGAGCATGCGCATCTATATTTGAAATAACAAACTTCTTGAGTTGATGATAATAACGTGCGCGTGATTATTGATGTGCTTCTGACCTCCTTTCAGAAATGGACAAATGTGAGTGACGAGCGAAAAACAAAGTAGAAGCGGGAAAATGATTGAGTAATGTAAATGATTGTTTAGGCAACCTAAAACATAAACAAACTGCCATGTTTAACTATTATCGTCACCTTTTGGGCTATTATGAACTCAGAATGACGGAAATATTTTCTAACAAGAAGTTACATGTGCTGGTGAAGTTTAAAGAGACAGATGAGAGGTTTGCACTGACTGTGGGATATATGTTGCGTGTTTTTGAATCAAATACGAACTAAAAGTATGCTGCATGTAGTTTTTCTGTAATTGGTAACATATTAGAGACTGTAAGGGGCTGTTGTGTTCATATATGTTGCATTTATTTATTTTATATAATTGCATACGTTATGGTAGGCTATTTCGTTTCAAATCATGTTTTGATTATTTGAAGTGCTTTCATATGATATGTGAACGACCTCTACAGCTTTACCTTGACATTTCCTTGTGCGAGAATGTTGTTGACTGAAACGTTCTGTTGTACATCGTGCCGTATCATTGGTACCATATTGGCAGTGAAAACGCAAGCCTGATAAAGGTGACCCATACCATACCACTCAGTGGATACAAGCCATAAAAGTCACCCACATTTGTCTCTTTCCCCCATTCATATTTCTCTTATTTCTGCCTTAGGACAGGTAAAAAAACAACAGATGCAAGAATGTTTTCTTATTGGCTTAAATGCTTCTAAAATAGTTGTACAGTACAGTTGCGCACACTTTTCTCAGTCTTCAGAAGTCATCGAGTCCTCTGTAATTTTTATATCCATCTCTCCTCAAAGGTCCTGTGTTGCTCGACAGAAACACAGCAAACTCTAAACTTTGTATCGAAATTGATCTGGATGGTGTTAGGATGAGACCAGATTGGACGGAGGAAGAAATTCAGAGAGAGCAGCTTCACAGAAACCCAGAGAGATTCGATCACTGTCCCTGTGTGTTGGGCTCTGTGGGATTTACCACAGGGATGCACAAATGGGACGTTGATGTCAAGGACAACACATCTTGGATGGTGGGTATCGCCATAGAGTCTGTCCAAAGAAAAGCTACCAGCGGCATCCCGGCTGGAGTCTGGTGTATCGGACGAGAAGGTCAAGTACTTAGCATTACGGATCCTCAGAAGTCCCAAGTCCCACTGTGTGGATTTGAGATGCCCAAAATATTGAGGGTGACTGTGAACTTGGATGAAGGACGACTGTCGTTCTCCGATATTGAGTGTAAGACTGTTTATCACACCTTCACACACAGTTTCACTGAGAAGGTCTTTCCTTTTTTCTGCACAGAAAGTTGTGACCCGTCTATCACTATACTGCCCGAACGCCAATCTGAAGACCTCTAGAAAGTTCCATTTCTATGGAAGATTGTTTCCGTCACAGAATAAAAAGGTGAAAATTGCGTTGTTCTGATTTTTTTTCTCCAGAATTATAAGTTGACATCTCATGTTTTTTTTAGATCAGCAAATTGCTTTAGGCTAAATATCGAGTTACAAACTTGTGATTCAGAAATTTTGAGACAGAATTTTGATGTTTGAAATGTCATAGTTACCTTTTTACTTCTATTTTCCTGTGACGGAGTGGTTGATTTTGTTAAAATTGCAGCTTATTGATTTATAATGGCCTTTGTTTCAAGGTCACGTCAGTTTAAAGTGAGTTTAAGGGATGTTCAGATTTAAATAGTTTGCATTGAGAAAGCTGTTCACTGTGTTTGTCTCATTTGTGCAATAAAACGTGTGTGATTTTAAGTCAAAGGAGTTATTTAAATGAACAAGAATGACTATAATTATAACAACTCGAATCGTTTTTTTTTACTTGAGATTATTTTTTTATTATGAAAGCAAGTTTCCAAATAAATATCACAATATTTTCAACCATAAATGCAATTTATTAAGTCAGCAAAAATATATTTAAAAAAGTGATTAATTTCAAATCCAGCCAATTTGGGCTGTCTAAAAATAATGCAAGTAGTAATTTAAAGAACTTAATTGAACCCAAAAGTGGAACAAGCTTATAAATAATTTAATTTTTTTGAATACTATATATCGCACAATTAAATCCATATCGTGCAAACTACTGGAAACGAGGCAAAAAAATTTTAATTACACTTATGATGTTACGATCTGGAGAATGAAGAAACTGGTCAAAATGAACTGTAATAGTTACTGAGAAAGTCCCATCTGGTACTACATATTTGTTGATGTACCATTGCAAAAGATCCAAACCTAACTTGATTCATTCATTCGACTTTGAGTCGACTATTAAATAATCAATACTTTTAAACACAGTACACTTTCAGATTTAAACCTCAGCTGGATGTTTACTCTTAATTCTGTGGTAAACACTGCATGAAACGTCATTTTCAAATCCCATGATAGGGGGTCTTTAAATCAACAAATATTTATAAGGCATAAGGACTAGACAACCTGCACCATGTTTCTAATAATATATTATAATAGCATGTATTATATGAAGTTTATTATTAAAGCTTTTCAAATATATATTGTTGTTTGCATCCTTTTTGTCCCTGCGCTATCTGTCTAAACTGTTGCGTCTTCCATATTTTTTACAGTCATTGGAACAGACGTTGTCTGCTATTAAACTACGTTTCCCAGGAAGCTTTGCGCGCTTCTCTCACGTGTTGTTCAGTGTGGTTCCTGTGTCCGTTCCTGGTCCGTTCATTCTTATTTTCTTCTTAAAACATGTTTTTTCAGTTCGCTTGGCGAGGAGTTTACCTTTCTGAGGGCTTTTAGGATGTATTGTCGATAATTTTACATTTGAGGGAACGTTTTGTAACTGTCAGGAACAACAAGATGGTCTCATGTTTATAAAATATTAAGCAAGTTGACAGTCAACATCGTGACGCGACTTCTAGACAAATCTTTGTCAGCGATTTAATATCGACACTAAATAGGTATAAATAATAATCAATGAGGCCAGATGACTGAGGTCAGTTCACAGTCATGGAGAGTCTACATTTGCCTTCTGAGGTAAGTCTGTCTATATATTAAATTAGTTAATTGTTGCTTGCTAGTAGATGAACAGCTATATACATGTAAATATACACATATACGTACATAGTTTCTCTCTGTGTGTATATAGCATTATATACATATAACAATAGTTTTAATATATACTTTTTGAATAATTAACAATATATAATAAAATTATTTGAGTAAAAATGTGCAAATATAAATATACATAAAATTATGTACGCACATATTAATAATTATACATATTGTGTTTATTCATATTATGCATACAAATTCTATATTTTGGTCATTTTAAGACAAACATGTCATTGAATATGTGTGTTCTTGTTGTAATGTGTGTAACCTTTGACCTTCGTCTCTTCTCCAGATCATTACCTACATATTTAGTTTTCTGCATGTAATGGATCGAAAGGAAGCGTCACTGGTCTGCAAGAGCTGGTACAATGCAAGCCAAGACTATCCGTTTAAGGTTTTTCTTTTTTTTATACAGACATTAATTAGAATTTTAACGTTAGTTTGAATTAGAATAATTCACTTTTAAATGTGTTTAAATTGTCGTGTGTTTTCTTCACTGCAGAGAAACCTTACCTTCAAGTTTCCAGCATCCTCCTCTTCTCTGGGCTTCATCCGAGGTCTTGCGAGACATCCTCGCTGTGGCCTGGTCATCAGCCATCTGGATGGGTCCAGTGTGTCCAGGCAGGTGCTGCTTGAGGTCGGGCTTCACCTCGGGCCTCGGCTTGACAGTCTGGCCCTGCCTGGCAGCAGTATCACCGAGTCCTGCCTGCTGGAGCTCCTGCCCCGACTGACCAGCCTCCGCAAGCTGGACCTGCAGGGTCTCGACAGCCTCTTCATGTCTGGAGCTTTTCTGTCCAGAGAGGAGCACCGGCGGAAGGTTGAGGAACCCTCTTTCTTTAGATATTAAAATCTGTTCCTAATTATGGTCTGTTTTTTTTCTTTTACTATGCATATAATTGTTGCGATGCTTGTATTAACAACTATAATAATTTTTTTATAATCTGTGTCGAATATACAAATGGGGTATATAAACTTCTGATTAATGTGACTTTCAATTTCATAAGGTACCTTTTACATCATTGATGTTGTAATGTAATTAAAATATAATCAGTTAAATAGACTTACGCATTTATTTAGATGTTATAGGTGAAGCGAGAGGATTTTAGCTGATAGCCTAGTGTTTAGTGCATCAATATGTAATGCAGACATCCTGATCACGTCCCCTCTCTTTCACCCAATTCCTGTCATCATGTTGTTGTCAAATAAAGGCAAAATATATCTTTATATATATATATATATATATATATATATATATATATATAGTAATTTAGTTAAGCTTAAATCATTTGAAATTCTTTTTATAGATAACTGTTGTAGAGTTACAGTTGAAGTCAGAATGATTAGCCCCCCTTTGAATTTTGTTTCTTTTTAAATATTTCCCAGATTATGTTTAACAGAGCAAGGAAATTTTCACATTATGTCCGATAATATTTTTTCTTTTCTTCAGGAGAAAGTCATTGTTTTATTTCAGTTAGAGTAAAAGCAGATTTAATTTTTTTAAAAACCTTTTTAAGGTTAAAATTATTAGAAAGTTATAGATTTTTCAATAGTCTACAGAACAACCATTGATTAACAATAACCTGCCTAATTACCCTAACTTGCCTATTTAACCTAATTAACCGAGTTAAGCCTTTAAATGTCACTTTAAGCTGTATAGAAGTGTCTGGAAAAATATATAGTCAAATATTATTTACTCTTATCATGGCAAAGATAAAATAAATCAGTTATTAGAAATGAGTTATTTAAACTATTATGTTTAGAAAAAGAAATCTCTCTGTTAAATGAGGAATACATAAACAGGGGTTAATAATTCATACTTCAACTGTATGCTTATCTATTATTATTGAATTGTCTATATATAGTATAAAACAAATCAATTGGTTTAATACTTATTATTTACACAATGTAAAATATAATTTGGCTATATGTAAATTATAATGTTATATTCCTATATATGTTATAATTTAATTACAGTTTTGAAATTAACAGTATTATAATAAATTTTAAAATAATTATAGCTTTCTGTCAAAATTGAGTATAGCTATGTATATTTTAGTTAGAATTTGTAGAATTTATTACGTAATTGTTGTAATTTTACAATTAGATTAGAATTTAGAATTTCTTAATAAAATTATATAAAAGTGTGAAAATTCATAGTAATGTGTATGAAATGCTTTTAAAATGTTTATTGTAATAAACTTAATCTTTTGTTAATAGTTTTTACAATCAACAAAAAACTATTATTGTATATATATATTTTTAAACGTTGCATTTAGTGTGATCTAAAATTTTTTTATAATATTTTAGTATTTGTTTGATTTGTAGTTAATGTTTTATATTTTACTATAAATAAAAATTATAATGACATTTTTATTTGTAAAAAGTATACAAATTTATAGGTTATTTTTGGATATATTTTACTGTTAAAATCAGATATTTAGATTTTAGTGTATACTATGTTGTATTTCTATTTTTAAATAATACAAATTATTGTTATTTATGTTTTATATTTCATTATAGATTAAAATTAACACATTTAAATCATTTTGTATTTTTCTTTTTGTAATTAGTATATTTTTAACACTTTTTTTCATTTTAATAAAACAAATATATGCACATTATTTTTATTTAACATATTATGAATTTAAATATTAAAGTATGTATTAAAAATATCCAAATATTGTTGTTATATGAATATATGTTTTCAGGTCTATCGTGCTCTGCTGAACCTGGAAGAACTGAACCTGTCTAATCTGCGCTACCTCTCTGACCTCTCCTTCAACCGGCTGACCATTTGCACTCCTGGACTGCGGCGTCTCTCTCTTTCTGGGTGCCACATCTCCTTCGAGTTTGACCCGTACCGAGGCTGTCCTGTAGGCTCCGGCTCCTCCGCTCTGGTTTCCCTCCGAAACCTTCTGAATCTCCTCCAGAAGCAAACCTCCACCCTCCGCAGCCTGGACCTGAGCCGCACCGGCATCACACCGAAGTCCCTCCGCTCCATTTCCAAGCTCCGCGGCCTCCGTCTGGAGGAGCTGAATCTGCACGGCTGTAAAGAACTGACCGATTACTCCATCGAGATCCTCTGTAAGTATCAGAGCGGCCTGCGGATGCTGGATTTGAGCGGCTGTATGGAGCTGAGCTGCAGGGCGGTGCTGGCGGTGGGTGCGGAGCTGAAGGAGCTGAGGGTCCTTTCGTTCTCGCAGGACTGGAAGATCACAGATAAAGGTCTGGCCGAGCTGATGATGCTGCCGCATTTGAGGAGCCTGGATCTGTCAGAGTGTCTGCATGTGAGCGGGACAGAGCTGGTCAAAGGCTTGTCTGGTCCAGAACCCAGAGCGCAGGTGGAGACCCTGAGCCTGAGGAACTGCACATATATTAGGGTAAGTGATTGAGCAACCAATCTATCACTAAATTATAGCTTAAAGAAGCACTCCACTTTTTGGGGGACTGGAAATAGGCTGCTTTTACAGCTCCTGGGTCTGGCGGGATCACTTTTAGCTTAGCTTAGCATAAATTGTTAAATCGGATTAGACTAATAGCATCTTGCTCAAAAAATTCAAACAAGAGTTTTGATCATTTATATTAACGCTTGATCCCGCTTGAAGCCCGCCTTCTAGTAAAGGAGCCTATCATTGATCACTATATTCTGACAGTTCTCTGGGAGAGGGGCTCGGTCAATATTTGTGTTTTTATGACAATTTTTGCAGCTTCATTGTTATGAAACCTCTGAAGTCGACAAAAACGCTGGAATCTTATCGAAATTCTTTCGACAGACATGAGAACTATATCAAAATAAAGCTTGAAATCTCTCTTTTAAATGAACCGACTATGCTTGAAAACAAATGTTATTTGGTTTTGTAATCTGTATGAAACGAGATAGAGGTACAGTCCATCCCATCTGACCTCATGAAGCCCCGCCTCCACCATTCAAAAATGCAAATCACATGACAACAACTACTTGAGTGCCCACAAATTGTGAACAAAGAGGCCGCTGTCATTTTGGGAGCTGATTTGGCATCAATACTACGTTGGGAATTACTGAAGAAGACCAGCATGATTGGATGAAGCATTGTTTAGAGCATTGGTGTCAAACTCAGTTCCAAAAGGGCCGCAGCTCTGCACAGTTTAGTTCCAACCCTAATTAAACACACCTGATCAAACTAATTGAGTCCTTCAGGCTTGTTTGAAACCTACAGGTAAGTGTGTTGGAGCAGGGTTGGAACTAAACTGTGCAGGGCTTCGGCCTTCCAGGAATTGAGTTTGACACCCCTGGTTTAGAGGATGATATTGTGTAACCCGGAAACAGAAACAGCCATAAATGAAGTGTTTTGTTGTGATCTTGTTCCCTGTTAGTGCGCATGCTCATTAGCTTTGTAAACCTGAAACAAATACTGTTTTTGTGTGATTTGAATGTTTAGAAACAAAATTTAAGATAGAATTGTTGTTCAATTTTATTGTTGATTCCAAATATGAAATTTAATCACGTGTTTGGCCAACCGAGTAACATTTCACAAAGAGCCGCAGAGTTGAATGACTTGCCTTAAAGAGACTTTAGTATAAACACTTAAAGGGAAATAACCAAGGGATTTTGCTGCCGTATCATGACTGCAGCAGGTGCAGTTACATTACGCAGCGGTGTTATTTAGCTGGTGACTGTTTTCAGGTGCTGCGTAATATCATTGTGCCTGCTGCAGCCATGGTACAACAGCAGCAAAGTATTTTAATTCTGATGTTAAACTAAGAGTATAGTTCCAAGCTATATCGCCTTAGAAAAGAGCAACTTTTCATTTTACATAGTACACAATGTAACTACAGAAAAGTCAAGCTTTAATTTGGAAAATTATCTCAACTTTTTTGAGCAAGATGCTAATGGTCTTATCCGATTCAATGATTTATGCCAAGCTAAGCTAAAAGTGCTCCTGCCAGCAGTGTTGCCAGATATAGCACTTTTTCCAGCCCAAAATTTGTCCAAAAACCAGCCAAACGCACAAAAAACGCCCGGAATATTAGATTAACAAATTAACCGAAACTAAATTTAACTAGTTACCTAAACTGTCATAATTTTTAACCATACAGCAGCAACCAACACCAGCAGTCACAGAACCACAACATAACCGTTGTGAAGATTACACTACCTATTTGAGCTTGATTTACTTTCGAAATGGGTTATAAAGTTGTCCCATTTGGCATTTAAATTCGTTTGAACATAATTTGGTGCTGCTTGTCGGTCAGACAGCTTTTCTATGTTTGTTCTTGCTGTCAGTTGTGGTAAAAAATGATCAATAAGGGTCAGGCGCTGTATGATGCGCGTGCAACCGAAGGGGAGTCAGATTTGTCCGGGGAGGACAAATCTCCTTCACCTCCTTTTGCAGGTGGGCCCACATGGTTTGCCCTATGCGCTGGTCACTACGAACTGAATGGAGTAGAAGCACACAGTTATGTTTTGTTTAATAAGTTGCATAAAAATTATATTTCAAAACCGCCCAAATTTTGACAACCAGTCAATGTCTTTTTTTAACCCGCAAAATCAAATTCAAAACCGCCCAACTGATTTCAAACTCAATCTGACAACACTGCCCGCCAGACCCAAAGATTGATTAAAAGGATTCAAAAATGGTCTGTTTAGCTCTAGATGAATTGGAAGATGAGCTGATTTTTGAAAAAAAAAACAGCGTGTTACTTTTAATAAACTGTTTTTATTTAGAAAAGTTTTGTAATCTTATTATGTAATATTATTTAAAAAATATATTTTATGTGTTTATATTTTTTTCTAAATTGTTTTTTTTAATCAAAATTATCATAGATAATTTTTTCAAAAGTTTATTAACTAAATAGTTTTTCAAATGAAACATTAAAATATTTTAGCAATAAAACATGTTGAATTAATTGAGGATTCGATTGTGAATGTTATTTTATTTTTGTCAAATGTGTTGTTTAACTGAGCTCATCTCTTGTTTACAGCTTTAGATCTGAAAAACTGAAATAGTATATTAACTGTTAATCTTTTTATTGTTTTTTTAAGCTATTTGTTGAATGTTGTTTTTGCTGCTCTAAATAAATATTTGTATTGTATGCATTACCAATACACTATCATAAAAAAGCCATAAATGTATTTCATGATTAATGATAAACAAAATACTTGTGTCATATTGTGCTGGGCAGGATTCAGTGGTGTTTTCGCTGGCGCAGCTGCTGGGTGTTCATCTGCGAGAGCTGGATCTGTCCTCATGTGTTTATCTCACTGATCTGAGTGTCCGAGCCATCGCCACCTTCCTGCCCGCTCTGCTGGTGCTGCGGCTCGGCTGGTGCAAGGAGATCTCAGACTGGGGGCTGCTGGGCATGACAGAGCCCACCAAACACTGCCAGCCCTCTGACAGAGAGGTGAGAGTGCTGCTGTCATCAGCACATCCTGTCATCATAGTACGCATACAGTTAAAAAATGTCAAATATATTTACATTTTCATTTATGCGTTAAACAAGATGTGCTTTAACTTCAGACTTAAGTTCACTTAACTTCAGACTAATTTGAGAGTATTTACATCCAAATCAGGTGAACGCTGAAGGAATTATAACAGTTTGCCTATGTGCTTCCCATTTGTTAAGAGTCCAAACGTAATTGGACAATTGGCTTCTAAGCTGCTCCATGGCCAGATGTGTGTTATTCTCTCATCTCAATTACTATGAGCAGATTAAAGGTCCAGATTTAATTTCTTGTGTGCTATTTGCATTTGGAATTTATTGCTGTCAACTCCCAAGATGAGATCCAAAGAGCTCTCACTTTCAGTCAAGCAAGCCTTCATTAGGCTGAAGAAAAAACATCAAAGAGATAGAAAAAACATCAGATTAGAGTTCTCAAAAAGCCCTCATAGTGCTGGAACAACATCCGATGGACAGATGAGACCAAGATCAACTTGTACCAGAGTGATGGGAAGAGAAAATTATGCAGAAGGAAAGGAACTGCTCATGATCCTAAGCAGTGAAGCATGGTGACATGGCGTGGGCATGTGTGGCTGTCAATGGAACTGCTTCTCTTGTATTTATTGATGATGATACTGATGACAAAAGCTGCAGGATGAATTCTAAAGTGTTTCAGGCAATATTTTCTGCTCATAGTACTTCAAAAGTCATTGGATGGCGCTTCACTGTGCAGATGGAGAATGACCCAAAGCATACTGCAAAAGCAACCAAACAGTTTTTGAAGAGACAGAAGTGGAAAGTTATGCAATGGCCAATTTAATAACCTGACCTGAATCCCATTGAGCATGCCTTTCACTTGCTAAAGACAAAACCGAAGGGAAAATCCCCCAAGAACGAGCTGGAACTGAAGACAGTTGCTGTAGAGGCCTGGCGGAGCATACCCAGGAATGAAACCCAGCGTCTAGTGATGTCTATGAGTTCCAGACTTCAGGCTGTAATTGACTGCAAAGCATTTTCAACTAAGTATTAAAAAGTGAAAGTTTGATTGATGATGATGATTCTGTCATATTACTTTTGGACCCTTAACAAGTGGGAAGCACGTATGCAAACTGTTGTAATTCCTACACAGTTCACCTGATTAGGATGTAAATATCCCCAAATTAAGGCTGACAGTCTGCAGTTAAAGGACATCTTGTTTGTTTCATTTTAAATCGATTGTGTTGGTGTATAAAGCCAAAAATGTTAGAATTGTGTCAATGTTCAAATATTTATGGACCCAACTATATTTATATAAAACACTATATATTATACTATCTTGTTTTATATTTGGTATTGAAACACAATATCATACATTAATAATCTACTTTTGTTTATATATTTAAATCACTTGTTATACATTTTGAAAACAATTTTAGCATGGACTTAAATATATTTTTGATATAAAAATATATTTTATTGAGCCTCATCATTAAAAAGACATTTAGCATCATGCATATTTAGCCAGAAAAAAAAAAAAAACTTATTTGCATTGCACACAAATGGTCCAGTTTGTTCATAAGTGGCTCATGTGTGAAGGAGGATAAAGGGCCGAGCTTTACTAGGACGTTTGGAAACATGGGCTTTTTCCAGCCTCCGAGCCTGCCTTTCCAGGACAAGCCCCGTCTGGTGACGGATGAGGATCTAGAGGAGTTCAGGGATCAGCAAGGTGCATCACTGCTGGCCCTCAGAGAACTTCAGGTGCTGGAGCTTACAGCCTGCTCAAAGCTCACCGACACCAGCATCACACAGGTCAGACATCAGCGCATGTGCTCTACTCTGTACATATGAACAATATCAATAATAAAAAGTTAGATTATTTTATTTATGCTTCTAAAAATCTCAATTGTAATAAATGTTTTGATTATTCTATTAGCTGGAATTCAGGTTCGTGTTCATAACACAGCTTTTATTTGGAAGGTTTGCATTCAAGAAAGATCTTGGATGAATAAAACATATTATTATGTTATAATGCTCAATTTAATGATTGAGTTTATTTTTCATTTATATTTTAGCATAATACATGAGTACTCATTTATAAATCTTGTGTAATCATCAATTACAAATTGTAATAGTCAAAATAAATGATATATAATTTTAGTTCTAATATAGGCAAACCTCTTTTGTACAGCACATTATTATCTTATAATATTAATAATAATGTTTCATTGGAAAACATTTTTAGATTTGTAATATTATTGTTATCATTATTTTCAGCAAATCTAGAAATAAAGTACACAAATTAAATCAGAAAATAATTATTTTAAAAACATTTTTTTATTTCGATTAAAATTGTATAATTGCCTAATCTGAAAACACAGAATTTGATAACAATAAAAAAGCATCCAAAATTGTATACGTTATACTTTTTTCATTTGAAGTTAGTCATGTATTTTTAATTCAAAACTGTAATTTACTTAGCCTCAAAACTGAGTCAGAAAAATTACATAATGCCACTCAATTTTCCCTCTAAACACATGAATTCTGTATTAATGCCAATCAGTCAGTTATAAGTACTCAAGATAATCAACAGAAATGAACTAGTCTGATTAAACCATAATACATGAAGACATTTTTTGCAGAAAAAACTCCCCAAACATTTTTGTTATTTTATTCCATAGAGTTTGATAACAATGAAATGGATAGGGTCCAAAAAGAAAGGTAAACTTTAATATTATATTTTGTAGATTTCTTCATTAATTAGTCAAGTATTTTGATTACAAGAATGTAATCGAGCCTTAAAACAGTGATAAAACTGACATAATGCCACTCATTTTTTCAACTATTGTCTTAAGGAAATGTGCTCTTATAATAAAAAAATAATATAATAAATGAATTCTGACTAATTTAATGCCATTTTGGCAATAATAAGTAGTTTAACAAAAGATAATCAACAAAAATCATAATACATTTTTTTTTCTTTTACAGATTACAAACAAACATTTTTTTGTAATCTAATTCCATAGTTTAATAACAATAAAATAGATTGTATAGGATCCAAAACTATAATGTTTAACTTGAAAGGTTTCTTGATTTTAATTAATTAGTCATTTATTTTAATTACAAAAATATAATTTAGATTTAAAGAAAAATCTTCAGAAAAATTACATTATGCCACTCAATTTTTCTTGAGCGTAGTTGCCAAACAATTGTCTTAAAAATTTGCTTTAATAGGGGAAAAAAAAGAAGTCTGAGTTGATGCCATTTAGTTAATAAAAAATGCGCAAAAAAATAATCCACAAAAATGTACTTGTTGATAACAAGGTACTTGAGTTTGATAACAATAAAATAGATTTTATAGGGTCCAAAATATATATAAACTTTTAATATGAGTTTTGTAGGTTTCTTGATTAATTAGTCATCTGTTTTGATTACAAAACTGTAATTGAGTCTTAAAAAGGGTTATAAAAATTACATAATGTCACTCAATTGCCCTTGTAAATATAGTTGTTACTATTGACTGAATGAAAATGTGCTTTTCATAAACAAAAAAACAAGAAAAATGTTTATTTATCTAATACAATTTAATTAATAACAAGTGTTCAAACAATCAACAAAAAATTAATTAGTCTAATTAAAGCATAGGAACAATTTACAGGAAAAATCCCCAAACATTTTTTAATCATGCATTTTGATTACAGAACTGTTATTTTTAGTCAATGGAACTCAAAGGGACATAATGCCACTCAATTTTCCTTGTAAATGTAGTCGTGTCACTATTGTGGAAGTAAAAAGTGCTGTTATAGCGGAAAAAAAAAAAGTTTAAAACACATATGAATTCTGACTTATTCAATGCCGTTTAGTCAATAAAGTACTCAGATAATCAACAAAAATAAACTAGTCCAATTAAACCACAATACATAAACACTTTTTTCTTTTACATAATTTTTTTTAATAATCTGATTCTATCGTTTGATGACAATAAAATAGATTTTATAGGGTCCAAAAATTTGTAAACTTTTAATGTTAAATTTGATAGGTTTCTTGATTTCAATTTAGTCATTTATTTTGATTACAAAACTGTAATTAAGTCCAGAAAAAGACATAATGCCACTTAATTTTTTTTTTGTAAATATAGTCACGTCACTATTGTCTAAAGGAAAATGTGCTTTTATTGAGGAAAACTAGAAAAATATTTGAATTCTGACTTATTTATTGCCATTTGGTCGATAATAAAAAGTGTTAAGTGTTAATGAACCATTCTGATTAAACCATAATACATGAACACTTTTCTTTTTACAGAAAACCCCCCAAACATTTTTATAATCTGATTCTATAGAGTTTGATAACAATAAAATAGATTGTAAAGGGTTAAACTTTGAATCTAAAATTTGATCCGTTTTTTTTTTTTATTTTGATAAATTGTTCATGTTTTTTTTTATTACAAAAATGTCATTTAGCCTCAGAAAGTCCAGAAAAATGGCATAATGCAACTTAATTTTCTTTGTAAATAGTTGCGTCATTATTGTCTGAAGGAGAATGTGCTTTTATAGAGGGAAAAAAAGATTTATGACTTATTTAATGCCATTTAGTCAATAATAAGTGTTCAGATAATCAAGAAAAAAATGAACCAGTCTGATTAAACCATAACACATGAACACTTTTTTGTAATCTGATTGCATGATTCACCTTAAACTGAATGTAACACTAAATGTCTTCTGTTGTCAATCTCTGCTAAACGTGTGTATCTCAGGTCCTCCGTTTTCCCGAGCTGCAGCGTCTCTCGCTCTCCATGCTGCCTGAGATCACTGACGACAGCCTGGTGTCTGTAGCTCTTCACTGCTGCAGCCTCACCAGCCTTTCGCTCAGCCACTGTCCTCAGATCAGTGATAAGGGCATGGCTCGAGCTCTTCCGCTTCTCCACAGACTCCAGCACCTCTATCTGGCCTGCTGTAACGCCATCACCAATGAGTGAGTAGCTGCGCTCCCACTTTTACTTTCAGTCTGCACTAAATCATTTAACATGAACCCATTCATTAATGCTGTACGAGAGTAGTTTACCGGAGTAAATACAAGCTTTACAACGGATTACATTTACTGACATGTGAACACTGTAAATATAGTGTCGCTGTTTTAAGGTGTGCATATACAGTTGAAGTCAGAATTATTGGCACTCCTGAATTATTAGACCCCCCTCTATATTTTATTCTCCAATTTCTGTTAAACGGAAAGAATTTTTTTCAGCTTATTTTTAAACATAATAGCTTTAATAACTCATTTCTAAACACTGATTTATTTTATTTTTGCCATGATGACTACATAATATTTTACTAGAAATTTTTCAAGATACTAGTATTCATCTTAAAGTGGAAGTGAAGCACTCAGTCAAGTTTACGTTATTTTGTACATTGGTTTCCACTTTATTGAAAATATATATTACAAATTCGATTAATGTAACCATGTTGCAAAAAAGGCAGGTTGTACTATAAATTGTAGACCTAGGGCGCCGACATCTTGAAATGTCGCTGTGTCTGATGTCACAGGGTTGGTTTCGTTCCCTCAGCTGAACAGATTCAGTCATAGTAATAGACTGGACACGGAGACTGCAATGCCTCATTTAACCCAATGCATGAAGTTGTGGACGTGGAGCTTGTGCCAATTCAAGCATCAGATGTGTGTGTATATATTGCAGGGTTCATTCACATTTTCACTACCAAAATTCCATGACTATTCCATGATTCTTCCAAGACTTTCAAGTAAATATTCATGACCTAATGTTTCATGCAATGTCTACATATGCGTGGTAAGGAAAAACAATGCGTATTCTAATTTATTACAGCATATAAAACATGCAGCAATCTATTTAGTTTCAATTTATATTTATATCTATGTAAGATTGATTAAGATAATGCTCACACTGCACTAATAATGTGAGAGTATGTGATTGGCCAAGGACAAAATAGAAGTCAAGACAACTAAAAACACTTTACTTCAGGACGCATTAATACCTCTCTGTAGGTCTATTGGAGACATTCATAAATATTCCTAGTAAATCTAATAAATGTTGGAGACATACTACATAAACGCGCTAAATTGCACTTCCGCAGTGTTTATTTAAGAGCGCACGAGCAGAGGAAATCGGCGCGCAAGTAAAGAGATTTGCATGCTTGTATTGCTCGAATGCGATCTTGACTTGCAATACTGCACTCACGACATTTGTCATTGAAACGCCATAGGTACTTGGTAGATCTGTGCAAAAGGCCTGCCACTACAGCTGGAAAAATCCTTGAGGAAACACTGTAACCTGTATTTAAGAATACAGATATCTGTTTTCCATGACTTTTCCAAAACCTTGTGGGTTTTTCCAAAAATTTTCCAGGGCTGGAAAATTCCATGACTTTTCCAGGTTTTTCATGCCCGTATGAACCCTGAGATTTATTTATTTATTTGAATTTTTTTTTTTTTTGCCCTTTTTATTTCTGATCATTTAGTGCGCTTAGGTCCACTCTCTGTATTATGCTTTCCTGACTGCCTGTCTGGGTTTCAACCTTCATATTTGTTGATTATCTGAGTACTTATTATTGACTGAATGACATTGAAAAAGTCAGAATTCATATGTTTTACAGAATTTCTTTAGTTTTCTTCTATAACAGCACATTTTACTTTAGACAACAGTCAGGGGACTATGCCTACAAGAAGAATTGAGAGGCATTATGTCATTATTACACTGTTTTTAAAGCTAAATTGTGATCAAAATAGAGAATTAAAATAATTAAAATACATTGAGTTTATAATATATATTTTGATTAAAGTGTCAATCAATTTACAAAAAATTGTAAACTTGACTGAGTGCTTCACTTCCACTTTAAAGTTAATTAGGTTAATTAACGCAAGTCATTGTATAACAGTGGTTTGTTCTGTAGACAATCGAGGGGGCTTATAATATTGACCCTAAAATGGTTATAAACAAATTAAAAACTGCTTTTATTCTAGCCGAAATTAAACAAATAAGATTTTCTCTGGAAGAAAAAATATCAGACATACTGTGAAAAATTCCTTGCTCTGTTAAACATCATTTGGGAAATCTTTGAAAAAGAAATCACATAAGAGCTAATCATTTTGACTAATAATTGTATATTGTTTTATTGTTAACCAGAATGAATATCTGTTCGGGGTAGAGGCAGGTTTTGTAACGCATTAAAAACTGGTCAAACATTGAGATTGGCACTTTTGTTCAAATGCCTGGAAGAAGACTGTTGAAGTTACAGTAAACCATCTAGATCAATGCTTGGAGTATGAATGGAAATTATGCATCCCATATAAAGAAAGTAACAAATAGGAGGGGTAGATTCAGGAGCTAGTCAAAATTAGACCGGGAAATAAGACAAACACCTTAAAGTCCTCCAGTAGTGATACCTACAAAACATCATTGGTCTGTTTCAAATGCCAGTAGCTGATCTGCAAGTGCTCTTTATAGGGAATTACAAACTTTGACAGTGAATTAGTATGAGACATATTTTGTGGCATTTTCAAAATACAAAACTACAGAATTTTATTTTGATACATTTATGGCTGCTGTGTTTTGTAGTTTCTTTTGATGCACTTAAAAATGAGCTATTTAGTATTTTATTTTAAATACATTTCAATGTATTTTTGCCCATCCCTGCTAGTCCGATTACATATATTATCAGGGTCTATCTGAACACAGCTAGTGTTGTTGTGGTAGGAAAGGTCTGATCTGTTTAATACAGTTATCATATTCCTCCAGAACTCTGTCCATCATTGCTCTGCATTGCGATAGACTGCGAACCCTCGACGTGTCCATGTGTAAAGACATAACAGTGCACCAAGTGGACCTCCTTCAGTCCCGACTACCCTTCCTGGAGAAAGTCCAGTGCCGCTTCGCCAACGGGGCAGATTTCACTATGGTATTATGAAGCTATAGCATCCTGCTAAAGGTGTGTGGTATTTATGATCTAATGTCCTTTTTTCTTTGCAAGCTGATATTAGATTGTTTTGGGACAAAAAAAAAACCCTGAAAATGATTCACTTTCACCAAAGAAAATTGTTCAAAACAAACCTGGAACTGAGCTAAAGCCACTTTAAAAAGTGACCAGTGTAAACATTCATATCAAGTTAGAGAGAGCTCAACCAAAATCTAAAAGGTGATCTTTTTTTCATTGATAAGTCAAAAAAAACATCCACTTCTGAAATGTAAATGTTGGCCGTTTTTATAGCCAGAAGCTGTGGATCTTTGTTGTAAAACAGGGGTATCCAAACTCAGTCCTGTAGAGTCGGTGTCCTGCAGTTTAGCTCCAACCCCTATTAGACACACCTGAACCAGCTAATCAAGCTCTTTCTGGGTATACTAGAAACATCCAGGCAGGTGTGTTGAAGGAAGTTGGAGCTAAACTATGCAGGACACCGGCCCTCCAGGACTGAATTTGGGTGTTCATCGATAATGTGATTTTATTATTTGAAAAATGATCTACAAATCGATTAACAACCTCAGATGTCACAACAGGTTTTCACTAAAACTCTTTCTGGAGAAGATGTGTGGTGTTTTGACTTTTGGAATCAAGCTGTTGCACTCTAAACAGTAAAACAATTGTCTTAAGTGAATATATTTAAAGCACTTTAAACTCAGGTATAAAAGAAAAATCTCTTTCTTCTTTGTGTTTTCTGGCATGTGGCCATAAGTTATGAATTATTATGCTACTGAATGTATGCAAGAGTTTTGAGCTGTGTCCGAGCGTTTCAAACGATTCCAACATGATCTGCTATTGATTAGTAGATATAAAACCACACTTCCAGACTGTATTCCTGGCCGTGTCAATAAACTTTTATAAATGTGATGTTATGCTTTTGTTCTTGTGATTTGAATATGAAGTGTTTGTAGGTTCACACCTATCGGCTTCTGAACAGCAGCTGATCACTTCTATGATTATGACAAAGTAATGAGCTCAAAGGTCTGCTGTTCTAGAATTGACTGATGTTTAATTGTGTTCATATATACTTAAAGTTCGCATTAGTGGAAATCTTCTAGTACTATTGTGGAACTCAGGAGAGACAGAAGGAAAAAGATGCAAATTTATTTTCTTTTCGGCTTAGTCCCATTATTAATCTGGGGTTGCCACAGTGGAATGAACCGCCAACTTATCCAGCAAATGTTTTACACAGAGGATGCCCTTCCAGCTGCAACCCTTACACACTCATTTCACACACAAACACCTACCCAACTCACCTGTACCACATGTCTTTGGACTGTGGGAGAAAACCAGAGCACCCAGATGAAACCCAAGCGAACGCGGGGAGAACATGCAAACTCCACACAGAAACACCAACTGACCCAGCCGAGGCTCAAGCCAGCAACCTTCTTACTGTGAGGCGAACGTGCTACCCACTGCGCCACCATGCAGCCCACACTTAGTAATAATAAAAAAAAATGTTATCAATATTATCAATATTTTTTCTTACAAAAACGATTATTAGTGAATCAAAAACTAAACTCTTGCTGACTAAAAAGATTTATAGTAAATCAATAACAAACCTGCTTTTACAAACAAAAAGTGTCTAGTGAATCAAAAACAAAACGCTTTTACTAACTAAAAAATACTTAGTAAATCAAAAAACTTTAAAAAAAAAAACAATAAGGTTCCAGAAAAGATTTTCAGTAAATCAGCAAGCCTGCTCCCATTTAAAATATTCTTCTTGATGAATCAAAAACAAAACTGCTTTATGAACAAAAATTCTAAGTCAATCAAAAGTAAACCTTCTTTTACAAACACAAAACGATTCTTAGTGAATCAAAAACAAACCTCCAACTAAAAAAAAAGTTTTAGTAAAAACAACTAACTAAAGAAAAAAAGCTTATTAGTGAATCAAAAACAAACCTCCAACTAAAAAAAAAAAGTTTTAGTTAAAACAACTAACTAAAAAAAAAAAGCTTATTAGTGAATCAAAAACAAGTCTGCTTTTAGAAACAAAGATTTTTAAAGAATCCAAAACTAAACTGCTTTTACAGAAAAAGGATTATTATTGGATCAAAAACAAATATGCTTTTAGAAACAAAAAAGATTCTTAGTAAATCAAAAACAAATATCCAGATTCTTAGTGAATCAAATGAAACCTGCTTTTACAAACAAAAAAGGTTCCTGTTGAATTAAAAACTCAATTAAAGGGTCATGACACCCCCCACTTTCGGTTAAAGTCTACTTCAGAATTTTTTCAAAAGATGCATGATTAATGGGCGTGGAGCTCCGCGAGCATAGGGCAGGAGTGGGCGTGGCCAGCAGGGGAGAACGTGAGCGAACAACTGTTGTTGTCAGTTAGCTTACAAAATGAGACAAACCGTGAGGAGACGCATGAGTTTATAGTTTACAAAGTTAAAATGCAAAGAAATGAACTAATTTAATAACCACAATTTATATCATTATAAAGATAAGTGTGTTCAGGTAAACCCTATAAATGAGGACTTCTCCCTCAATCCCCGTATCCAGCAGACTCAGTGCAGCAGGTCTCCTGACCTGTATATTTTAACCGTTAGCCCTGCTGGTAATCTGGAGGTTTTAGGCAAACACAGCAGCACAGTGATGTCTGAATGTGAACGAACTCCTGATAAAAGACAGCGTCCGCCATTCTCTAATTCTCGTGCTGCTCTCCCGACAAAAATGCTAGCAGCACACACACACAGCTTTGCTGTATGATCAGCCCTGACAAGATCACGGGGAAAAAACATGCAACAAACCGACGCGTCATCATTGCACTTGCAGTTCTGCGCTACGTCGCCAATTTTGATCCCGCCCCAAAAATCATTTTAAACCCGGAAGCTGAAATTAGCTGACAAAAGCTCAAAATTATCCAGTTTTCCCCACAATTAAAGCTGACAGATGCTAACATTGTCTTAACTGATGCTCAACACACACACACACACACACACACCTGATAATATAAAAAAAAAAGTTCTCCAGGGTGTCCTGAACCTTTAAAAAGCTCTGACTAAAAAAAGATTCTTAGTAAATCAACAAACCTGCTCCAATCAAAAACATTCTTATTAGTGAATCAAAAACAAAACTGTTTACAAGCAAATTCTTAGTGAATGCCAGTGGAAACAAAACAAACCTGCTTTTATGAACAAAAAAGATTCTGTGATTTAAAACATGTTTTTTTTTTCTCTTTATATATTGTTAGTGAGTCAAAAACAAACCTGCTTTCACAAACAGAAATGATTCTTAGTGAATTAAAAAATAACTTGCCATCTAAAATGGATTCTAAGTGAATCAAAAACATAACGCTTACTAAGAAAAAAAAGATTCTTATTGAATCAATAAACCTGCTCTCATTTAAAAACATTATTCGTAGTAAATCAAAAAACAAAACTTTTTTACGAACAAAAAATATTGAATCAAAAACAAAACTTCTAGTGAATAAAAACCACACCAACTATCACAAAAAAGATGATTCTTAGTGAATCAAAGACATCAGCATTCATACAAAAGAATTAATAGTGAATCAAAACACGTGTAGTTAAATACATTAAATGAGCCAGTGCTTTAAATAAATAGTACTGAAGAATGACCTTCTAGCTTAAATCAGTCAAACAAACTGCTAGTCAATCAATGGTTTAAATTTTGTTACCACTGAAAGCGTTGCTAAAATGCACATCTGCTGCAGACAATTTGAAATAAACAGACACAACAAAAGAAATCAGGCCAGTTATAATAATATACATTCTTTAATTACAAAAGGATCATCAAACTTGAATTAATATCATGTACCGTCGTCAGCTGGTAAAGTGGCCTCATGGTAGATCAACATTAAGTACAAGTAAACTCTATACAAACCACCAGTACAGTACAAGGATTGTTTTCTGCTAAATCAACATCATCAGATTCAGGACTACCACAAAACAACTAAATCAGTGGATTACACAAATGTTTGCGTACCATAAAGTTATCAGCTCCATTAATGCAACAAAATGTCTATAACACACACATCTATAGAGAAAAAAAACAAGAGGACACTTTCTCTGATTTATGATTCATAGTTATGACCTAGAATAAAACAGTTTTACGTTCTGTACACGACAGATGATTTTTCTAACACATTCACAATAAGATTATGTTGACATGTAGAGCAGTTTTGGAATAAAAGTAATGTTTTTAGACACCAAATCTCTTAACTTACTGGAAAAAAAAAACAATATATTTCCATTTTGAAGTCACAACAATTGAAACTTATTTTTTTTAAACAAAAATGCTCTCAACGACAACATTATTTTCTTCAAGTTTGATCAGACCCAAACAAAAACCAACATTTTACTGAAATCCATACCTAATAAATCCAGTAATATCAGAGAAACTGTTCTCTTCATTCATTTTTTTTTTTACATAGTTACATGTTCACTACCTGACAAAAGTCTTGTCGTCTATCCAAGTTTTAGGAACAACAATTAATAGCTTGACTTCTAGTTGATCATTTGGTATCAGATGTGGCTTATGTGAAAGGCAAAGGCCTCTAGATTATTCATTTTCAATGCATTTCCTATCTTACCCTAGACATGCTCAATAACATTCATCTCTGGTGACTGGGCTGGCCAATCCTGGAGCACCTGACCTTCTTTGCTTTCAGGATCTTTGTTGTGGAGGCTGAAGTATGAGGAGCGCTATCCTGCTGAAGAATCTGCCCTCTCCCGTGGTTTGTAATGTAATGGGCAGCACAAATGTCTTGATACCTCAGGCTGTTGATGTTGCCATCCACTCTGCAGATCTCTCACACACCCCCAGACTGAATGTAACCCCAAACCATGATTTTTCCTTCATCAAACTTGACTGATATCTGTGAGAATCTTGTGTCCGTGTGGATTCCCATAGGTCTTCTGCAGTATTTGTAATCATTGGGATGAAGTTCAACAAATGATTAACTAGAAGTTATTACATGTTGCGTTTACAACTGGGATTGACGACAAGACTTTTGTTAGGTAGTGTATGTATATATTTAAATCACAAATCATTATGTGTATCATAAATTGCCATACTATTGAAGTGCTCGTTATGCGTTGACAAATCCACATAAATCATAATCTAGCCAAAAAAGCATAATGGAGTAGTTAGACCAAAAAAACAAAACGCATCACAGCTGTAAATGTGAGTATGTGATGAAGCTGGAAATATCAGATCACACCAAAAATATTCATGCAGTGTCCTCAAAGCACACTTGGTCAAACTATTCCTCGAACACACAATCCAAAACCACTGTCCATATAGAGTTTAAATCTAATACCAAAAACTCCTCATCTTTAATGCACACCTACAAATAATAATAATAATGCAACAGACGTGTATGAAAACAGAAATATACAGCGCGGTTATGCTGGCCAGTATTATTACATTTCACATTGTGTGCATCTGTACCTGCACTGCACTTTAATTCACTGCAAAACTTAATCTATACACGCATAACCAGATTATTTTGTCTGATCAACATATATCTGTATGTTGATCGAGTATCGATTTGAAGGGAATCTAGGAAGATGACGCTATTAAGCACATCATTAATCTTTTATCCCCTCAATAATAAGCTGCTCAGTCATTTAAGGCCTTTTAGTGTAATTTTGGTAGAGGCTAAACATGCAAGAAGGGAAAAAACAAGAAAGCTAATGTTGTGCGAGTATAACGGCTTTTATGAAGGGAGTATCATTTATTTATTTATTTTTTACTTCAACAAGGAGCTTTTAATGCCTTTTACACTACGTGGCTGTCGAAAGCTAGTTTTGTGCAAAAAAAACTGAGTTTAACATAGAAAAAGAGCATTAACATGGAAAAACAATTAGAAGTGGTGCAATGGCATGGAAAAAAACTTGTTTGTGTGAACGGGCTCTTAGAATGTTCATCAGCCAATCAGAATCAAGCATTCGACAGCCTTGTAGTATAATCGATTGTTACACCTCAGGTCTACTTTACTTTGACTGTGATCGTGACCACATCACCTCCTCGGTAGGTCATTCTTCTACTAACAATTCAACAGCCCACTATCAATTATCCCTCCCTTAATATAGTTTTGGTAGAGGCTAAATGTCAAGAATCCACAACTATTCATAAAATATTAAGTACAGATATTTGTAAGACATTTTTTCATGTTTTTGACTGCTGGTAAGGTGTTAAACATCACTTTAATGTCGTTTAGCGTGATTTTGGCAATTAAACGTCTGTTCATTGTTATTTATTGCCTTATACTATAACTTTAGGTTTTTAGACTGCAATAATATAGAAATAGACCACAAAATGTAGAAAAAAATGGAAGCATTTATAAATGCCAAACATATTGAAGGCACAAATGTTTCTATCATATACAGTTAAGGGAACAAATTAAGAGTGCTTTCACACTTGGTTCAATTGCCTGGACTGAACCCAAGTTTGATTGTTCTCTCTTGCCACCTTCTCAGCTCACAGTCTTTTTTCCTTCTAAAATTACAGTCATTCTGCTTTTACTGAATCTTTTGCTTTTGCAATCAAAACCCAAAATACAGAGAGCCACTTGCATCTCTCTGCCACAAAAAATATTAACAACGTTCAGAACATCATCACGCCATGTCTGCAGAAGTCATTTTTGGTGGAGACGAGTAAACATTTTCACTGTTTGCACTGGGTCAGTACCACTTGTCATCAAGGTAGGTGATACACAGACAAACACACACGAATGGACGTTATGAAAACTAAAGTTTGTTGTAGAACTGGCAGTTCACTTCCACTATTTGGTACAATTGTATTCATATCAGAAGTGAACTGTACTAGAGTTTGCACGAACTGTACCCCAGACAACCTCTTTCAGGCAGACTTGGGTAAAGTTCACGAGTGCGCAGTCAGCGATCACACTAGCTAAACATACTGTACTCTGACGTGAAACGAACTCGGGTGTGGACCAAAAGTGCTAGTTTGAAAGCACCCTAAGAGACTTTTTGTTATGATGCTTCTTCAAAATGTAAAAATGAATTGTTACAATTTTACTTTGCGTAAAACAACAATTGGTCAAACAAATAAAAAAAGATCAGTTGAGTTTCAAACATGTTTGTATTTGTTTCACTAATATTTTTAACTTGAGAAGAGTTAAGAAATCAATATTTGCTCAAATTATTTAGATTTTGAGACACAACAAAGAGAAAAAAAGATTGATGACAATAGTTTTTCATCGCTATATACAGGGTTCATTCCTGTTTTTACTATTCAAATTTCAGCACTTTTCCAAAACTTTGAGGTAAATATTCAAGTTTTATGTAATGTCCATGTACACGTGGTAAACAAGAAATAAAATGTATGTTCAGATTTATTACAACATATCAGCAAATATTATGTGACAATCTGCGTAGTTTAAATAGTTTTACATCTGCAAAATAGTTTTTAGAAAGTATCTTGTCGTCCGTGTGAAAATATTTTAGAAATGATGTATATTGTATTATAAATGAGCCTTTAGCACTCACAGTATCTTACCTCTGTAGTTATTAGAGATCGTTTCTGGACACGACACTCAAAATCTTTCTTAAATTATGATGAAAGCAAGTAAAAGAGAGGCGAAGCTAAAACTGCGAGCTTTGAAGAGATTACCTGATATTACTATCTCAAATATATTCAAGTACACAGATATTTGTTAAACAAATTTTCATGACTTTTCAAAAACATTTTGGGTTTATTGGTTTTTCCAAAACTTTTCCAGGCCTGTAAAACGCCTTTCCAATATTCCAGGACTTTTCCAGGACCGTCTGAACCCTGTATATACTAATCTTTAAGTTTTCCTGATTTTCAACCAAAACTACATATATATATATATATATAATTGTTCTGTTATCTCACTAATCTGCTACATGTTATTTAATGGCTTTTAGTACCATTTTGGCAGAAGCTAAACATGTAAATCGGGAAGAAAAAAAGTACATTTTATACGTTTATATAACGTAACTATAATTAAAGAGAATGACTGAGTATCCCAAACATCACTAAAGCACAAACGTTCATACCGTTTCTTTTTTCCATCACAAATAACACCTTTAGTATGATTTTGGCAGAAGCTAAAAAGAGCAGAGAAAGTGCATTTCTGAACGTCTATTATATGCAAAAAAAAAAAAGTCATGTTAGATACAACACGCAAACAAAAACACTCAATGCCATGTTAACTGCAGACACTTCCATCATCATCATCATCATCACACCGTCAGCACCACATATAAAACCCAATCTGACTGTTCAAAGTGCTCTTTCTTCTAAAATACCCAATTCATCATCTCCCAATCTGCAATCCTGTACCTGCGTTTCCTCTGAGCGGATGTTTCCAGCCTCAGCTCTTTCTCAAACAGCAGCCTCATGCTTACGTCTGGCCTGTTACTGTTCGGTCTGACTGAAGTCGTAGCAGAAGTTGAAGTTGCTGGGGGGTTTCGGGATAGGTGGAGCTGCGTCTGGGATCGGGACGTTTTCTAGATCCAAAAGACGAAGCTTGATTTCCATCGAGAGGAGAATCTCCAGTTCACTGCGCATGCTCTCACTGCTCATTTCTTTACCCAGAAGCACACTGAGTCCATCTGTCCACAGGCAGAACTGTGGAACAAGACAAGAAAGATGGATTGAGGAAAATACTTGTGTCATCAAACTGACATCATCAGAGGAGGACTGATAGTCCAAACATGGAAGCAAATGGTGAGATTTTAATTACCAAAATATTTTTTTTGTCAGTGGATTAACTTTCATGGATTAATTGTTCACCTAAAGAACATAAATGTGCGCTTAAAAAATAACATTGTAATTTTTGACTTTCACATGGACTTCAAAATATAAGAGCTTCCTGCAATTCGGTAGTGGAACAACACGAAACTCACGTCTGTTCTGGACGAGGCGATGAAATTCAGGCTGTACTCCTCAACATCATACGTGATGCTGAAAGCCAAGTCCAGCACCTCCTGTCAAACCACACAAACCAGCACACTGTTACGCTGCAGTTCTGCTAATAAATTAGGGTTTAATGATTTCTGTGGAAAATGCAGGTGGAATCCTGCAGTTGAGGTCATAAAACAGAAATAGTGGAACACAGAATGCCATGAAATTGAGCACATTAGGATAAAACATTGACTAAACATCATTTTTCTTGCACTGTAAAATCAACTTGTCAATTGTCTTTTGTTTTTCTGAACAATTGGCATTTTCTAAAGCTTTAAATGACCATTCTTATATAATATATATATATATATATTTTTAGCAGACTTTTATAGATTAAAATGAATATTAACATTTTACTCAAACCCATACCAAATAAATCTAAAGAAAATGAAATGAAATGAAAATAATAATAAAAAAAAAATCTAAAACACATTATGGGTATCCCAATCTTAATCCTCGGGGTTCCACAAGGTTTAGGAGTGTGTTTATGGAAATTTTGGACCATTTTTCTTAGGGATGCACAGAATATTCAGACACATTTGGGCCATTTTCGGTTTTCAGCTGAAAGGTTTTAATCATTGAAAAAAACATGGCCAAAACAGTTTGTTTTGATGACACAAACAAACACGACATGACGCAAATGTGACAACTCAACCAATCGACAGCTAGATGTTATCTGTCTGAAGCCCCCATCTGCAAAAAGAGACAACTAGTGGTGTAACAGATCCCAAATCTCACAGTTTTTTAGTCACGGATCGAACCATTTTTCGAATCAGATAAAAAGGGAAAAAGACATGTAATTTGCTTTCCATTTATTACAAAACCAGTACTGCAAAACATTTAGATTTTAACAAACAGAACTTAGAATCTGCAATTTTATTAAGAATAATCAGCTAAATAAAAATAAATAGTAAAATATTCAGTACTGTGAAAAAAATTCTGTTACTACTTTTACTAATAACGCTAAATGTAGAAACCTAACATTATAATTTGTAAAACCCATATTTATTTTTTTAGTCTTATTTTCCCAAATGATTCAGTTATTCACTCAAAACTTCATGTTTCATTGCTAGATGTGTTGTTTTTGAAGAATTATTATTAGATTGCAGTTGGTTGGCCACCTATTGGTTAAATAATGTAACTGCTGCCTACAACTTTCATTTTTGAGCGTCGTTAAATGCATATGACGGTGATTTTAATCTTTACCTTAAACATCAGTGGTTTTATCTAAACTACAACCTGTTATCCCAGTACTTCTGTGTTATTTGACTGTTTGTAACTTCATAACTAACTCAAAAGACTAAAGACTGAATCTCTTGATTTATTTTACGTTTTTCAAACACAGATTTGAATGCAGCAATTTGAAGGATTAATAAACATATGAAAATCCCCATCATTTATATTTTATGTTGTGTCAGTGTTGAGATCCCGATCTTTTAATGATTATTGATGCAGCTTACACTGAATGCAATTATACAGGCTAAACAAGTAGTGATAGAAAACCCCTTTATTAACCTAAGAAACCCACCACAAATCCTGAATAACCTACTACAACTTCTTCATCATTATATTTTACAGTAAAGCCGAAATGCTTTCATACATGTCATTTGAATGACACGAAAGGTGATCTCTCTGCGATCATAAACAAATTCAGGATTAATCTACCAGTAAAAAAGTATTAATCTGCAGACCATGTGTGTTCCTAACCGTGGGTTGTGATCCATATGAATCACAGATTAACTGTGATCTGTTACACCCCTAATGATAACCCATTGTTGCAATGTGCTAAATAAATATTTTCATATTTTTTTAATTGATTTGTTCTTTGAAACTTTAATATGAATTGATGCAATTACAATGCCTTGATTTTCTTAAGGTCAGTACACAGTCATAGCCATAAACGCAATGGTACTAATAATTGGCATCATTTATTTTGGTGTTTTGGTTTTCGGTTTCAGCTAAGAATTTTCATTTCGGTGCAACTATAATTCTTCTAGAAAAGTGTTTGTGAGGCCTGGCTCACAGTCTCCCTCTCTAATTCATCCCAAAGATGTTCTATAATGTGAACCAAATGTAAACCACGATACAAACCAAACCAACAATTTAGTGAAGCATCCCACCCCTTGTGTTCGAGCGTCATACCTTAGTTTGTTTTCCCTTGTTCTCCTTCATGTGAGGACAGTCTTTTCCAGTCACCACATTCTTAATGTCTGCCACAGGAACTGAGGGGACATTCAAGCAAAATTCAACTTTATACACTGAAGTTCAAATATCAGCTACTGGAAAACTCGTATATTAGGATATCTGAAATGCACATACTCTTATCCTGAAGCGCCTCGATGGAGGGCATCTCCGTCTCCTCCTCAACATCTCCATAGTGCAGCACTTTATGGTTAGGAGAGAGTCGACAGTACCACAGCTTGTCTGGAAACACAACCACACAATAATTGCTAATGTGGTTTCTTTAGCATTGCAGAAATATTTTTTTGATTATTATTTATTTAATGGTGCAGATAATCCATTTATTCACCCTTTAAGTTTTTCAAACCTTAAGAATTTCTTTTTGCCGTTAAACAAAAAAGAAGATATTTTGAAGATTGTTGAAAACCTGTAACCATTTATTTGTCCTACAATGGAAATCAGTCAATTTTTCAACTTTTTTCAAAATATCAACTTTCATGTTCAACTGAACAAAAAAAAAACAAAAAAAAACAGGTTAGGTTAGGAACCAATTGAGCGTGAGTAAATAGTGAGAATTTTAATTCTGGGGTGGACTATCCCTTTAATCATGCTAGTTTTTAAGAAGTTATAGTTTTAATCCTCTATGGCACGTGGGATGGAATCAGTTTTTATGCACTTTTTTATTTAAAGCACAGTAACCATAGCCAAGTTAAATGGTTATGTTAGCATTAGTGTGTATTTTGCGGTCTCACCTTGTCTCCGACGACTGCTCATCTTCCTGAAGAGCGTCCCGTGACACAGACGGTTCAGTCTTTGCTGTCTGATGAGCTCCAGAAGCTCCGGCTTCAGGCGCTCCTTCAGCTCACTGGACACACACACACACACACACACAAAATGTGTGAAAAAGAGACACCACAGCTATCACAAGTTGGTGACTTCATGTCCATTTTAAATCACAGATATTAACTAGAACTACAAGAAGAAAAATGCATCACTTTTAAAAATGGTTAAGATGAACTGTTGGTATGAATGTTTGCTTATATTTGTGTATAAATGACTAATAACTCATTTTAGTTGTGTCTTGAAGTGGGCCGGACACCCCAGATAGTACTGACTATGTGATTGGTCAAAAAGTCTGATGAGAAGCTCAAGTGATGTCATAAAAAATGGTTGATTCTTCTTATCAAGGTTTGATTTCTTATATCTAGGGCCTGACAAAATCTGCAGATGTTTTGATAAAATTGATGATAAATTTTGTTTGAAAACTAATGCAAAATTATTTTCAGAACATCGCATCTGAAACAAAATACATAAGAAAGAACTTGTTTATCTCATTTATCTTGTTCTAGCTGCTGAATTAGTACAAAATTCAGTGCAGGAGAGCACAACCTGTTTTGAAAAATTGCTTGCGTACAAGGTCGTGAATGTTCTAGCACCCCAATTTAACATACACTCCTCGATGTGCTTTACCCTCGTCTGATGCTGGTCTTTCAACCTCTCAGTCAACGCAGCTAAAATGTAAGGGAAACCGGGCATTCTCTTCATTGGCACCTAAATTGTGAAACTCTTTACCCTCTGATATTCGCATTGCAGAATCCTGGAGTATTTTTTAAATTGACTCTTAAAACTTACTTTAGGCTCGCTTTTATTTGTTTTTATTGGACTTTTATAAGATTTTTACATCTATTATTAATATACTTGAGATGCTACTTTTAAAGGCACTATATAAAAATAAAAGTTCATTAGTATTATTATTATTGTTATATATATCCAAAATATCTTAATGTTATCTGTCTTTTAGTGGATTTATAAGATTAAAAAATAAAAAATTATTAAAATAGTAAGATGTTAAAATTTTACTTGACAAATTGTATTGTTCACACCATCTAAACATTTGTAAATTATTCAACTATATATAAATAATATATGCAAGTAATATATACATATGAAAAGAGGGTAATTAGACAAATTTACACAAGTAGATTTCAGTGTGGGCCTATTTGTGTAAATATATAAATTTACATAAAAAATATATTCAAGTGTAACATTTACAATTGATTTATCATGTGTGGTTTAATTTTAAAAGGTCACGAAACACCAAAACACATTTTGTTTAGATGTTGACAGTCATATATGTGTCCCCCGCTGGTAAAAACACTATTAGGACACATTTGTTTCACAAAAAAGTGAAAATTGGTTGTTTTTGCGTTATTTCGAGCAAATTCTTTCTTTCGGTTTAAAAAGAAATTTAAAGCTACATCACAGCCATGAAATCCTTGTTTAAATTCCAGCATTTAGACTAGTTGTCTGTTCTAGCAGGTACAATGTTACGACTTTGAGCTTTTAGCATTAATTCTAGAGAAAGACTTGGTTCGACCAATCAGCGCTCTCTATTGTAAATGAGGTGCAACTTCATTAATATGCATGATATAGCTCCGAAGACTGTTTTTATCTGTTACAGTGTTCAGAGAGACCCCACGTTGTGCTGCCAACCGTAATTAAACAAGTGAAAGAAGAAGAATTGTTCGGAGAAATGGGTCCTCAGTGTTGTGTGTATAAATGTGCTGCAACAAAGGTTTTGTTGCCATTTGTCCTGCGATGAGAGGGCAGATCAAAAATACGTTTGTAAAGAATATTTTTTTTATGCGAGAGCTTTTTGAATCTGGAAATGGTGAAATACATTTTTGCAACTCGTCTCCTTTTTAAAAAGACGCGGTTCCAGTTCGTATTGATTGTCCTGTCTCTATGAATTTCATGGCCCTTTAAGTAACATATTTAAACAGTTTAGCAGGTGTCATCACTAAACATATTCGAAACAAGAATCATTATTATAAAGCTATTGACTCTTTTAATTCAAAGTTGGAAAAGTGTTGTTTCAGTTTTGCGTCAGTACGTACAGCACAGGTGGAGCAAGCGTCTCCTCCTGGTGGAGTCTCTCTGTCTGTCTGAGTTTGAGGATCTCACTGTAGTTCAGCGCGTTCACTTTATTCTTGAAGAGCTCCAGAGACGTGGGTTTGCTGGCCAGAGTCCTGGTGATCTGCTCACGCACAACCTGCATCACCTTTAGGGAAAACACAGGAGAAGTCACCGTGAAAGTCCACACACAAACCCTCATGACCATTTGCGCAGAACGCTTGACCTCATTCACCCATGAACAACATGCCTCTGGGGTTCAGGTCAAGATAAATGAAGGCAGACGGAGAAGAAAACCTCCATAAAACAGCAGGAGAGAAGAAATGAACAATGGAAATATGGGTCTCTCTTGCAATGAGTGTCCAACTGAGACAAACAGACTGAAAAGATGAGCGCAGTCAACTGGAAGAGAGCGAACGCTTGACCACAAACACATTTTATGCTGAGAGCTTTCACATGTGATGGTCCGAAGAGATACAAAACCATAATATTAAAGAAAGAGTTATGATTTAGGGAGGGGGGAAAGAAAAGAGTTTTTTTCAAGTTCATGTCTGTGTAATGTTGTGGTGCTGTCAAAGACAAAGACTACAAAGTAAAAACATTACACAGCATCACCACTAAAAAAACAACAAAACAAAGCTAAATGCAATGAATACAAGAATAAAAACAAAGCAGTAAAACAAAAAATTAAAAACATGACATTCGACTACAAACAAAAGAAACACACACACAAAAAACACAATACAGCAAATAAAAACAGAACAACAACAAAACGTAAAACAAAAACTATGCAATAAAACCCTGACAACATTAACATAAGGCAGCAAGCAAAAAATACACAACAAATAAAAAAACAGAACAAACAAAACAAAAACTAAGCAACAAAACCTTAAAGCATGATGACATTTGAAAACAAACAAGAAATACACACAAAAAACAATGAACAACAAATAAAAAACAAAACAACCAAAATACATCAAAACTTAACAAAAACTATACAACAAAACCCGGACACAACATTATGACAAGACAGCAAACAAAAGAAAAATGCAACGACAAAACACACAATACACAACAAATAAAAAACAGAACAACAAACAAAACAATCAAAAACAACAAAACCTAACAGAAAATCTATGCAACAAACCCTAACAAAACAATGACCACAAAAAATACACACAAAAAACTATACAACAAATAAATAACAGAACAAAAAAAAACCTATGCAACAAAACCCTAACACAATGTGACATAAGACAGCAAATAAAATACACACACAAAAACACAATAGGCAACAAATAAAAAACAGAACAACAAAACCCTAAGAAAACATTATGACATAATACACAACAAATAAAAATAAAACACACTAAACAATAAAACCAAAAAAATAAAAATTCTATGCAACAAAACCTTAACAAAACATGATGATATGACAACAAATAAAAAAAAATATTTGCACAAAAAACACAAAACACAACAAAAGCTATGCAACAAAACCAACACATTATGGCATAAGACAGCAAACAAAAGAAAACAGAACGACAAATAAAACCTAACAAAAAATACTATGCAACAAAACCCTAACAAAACAATGACATATGACCACAAATAAAAAAAATACACTCACAAAAAATACACAACAAATAAAAAACAGAACAACAAAAACCTAACAAAACATAGGCATGAGACAGCAAGCAAAAAATACACAAACAAAACAATACATAACAAAAAAATAACAGAAGAAACAAAACAATAACCAAAAACTGTGCAAGAAAAACCTAACAAAACATGATGACATAACACAACAAACTAAAGAAATACACACACAAAAAAACACAACAAATAAAAACAGAACAGCAAACAAAACAACAAAAAAATAAAAATAAAAAACGAAATCAAAACCTCAAAACTAAATCTATCCGACAAAACATGATGACAAGACAGCAAACAAAATAAATACACACAAAAAACACAATACAAAACAGAACCAAAGAACCAAAGCGACACACAACAACAAAGCTTAAAACAAAAACACGAAATACAGTATGACAACATACAAAAGAAAAATGAAACAACAAAAAAATACGATAAACAAACAAATAAGTAAATAAAACAAACAAAACACAACAAAACTTAAAAACTGTCTGGTCATCCATTACTTAATGTATTTTTTTGCCAGATGGGGGCAGTAAATCCAAAAACTAATTTCTTGTTTTTTGTTTGTTGGTTTGTTTGGTAAAAGGTTAGCAGCATTTTATACGGTACTTTGGTCATGACAATCTCTCAAAAACAACCAACACAGCTGCTTATTTAGTAGTTTAATAAATTTCTCCAATTTAGGTGTGGACAATAAAACAATTAGAATTGAAAGTGTTACTCCCCTCAAAATCATGGTCAAAAGTTACATTTGAAATATTTCTGAAAGAATTCTCTTACAAAATACAGAAAAACAGATCATTCAATACAATAACTGTTCGTACCTTGGATTTATAAGGTTCTATCTACGTTCTCAATGACTTTGAGATATTGAGCTTTAAAGTTTTTGCATTCCATGTAGATAACAGTTTGTGTAACATTTGTTTCTAAATCAAAAGTCTTAAAATGTAAACAACTTACAAAAAACATGCCATAATGTAAATAAAATGTCATTTAATAAGAATGTCAACAACTCAATTTTGACAAAAATGTCAGATAGAACCTTATAATTCTATGGTGACGTGTTTTCTGTACATGTTTTACAATGTATTACAGTATTTCTCTCATCATCAGTGTTGAAAATGTGCAGCTGCTTCATATTTTCTAAAATATATTTTGATTCAAAAGTTCTATTTACTATTTTATAAAAGTGTTTACTGTCACCTCTGATCAATGTCATGCATATTTAAAAAAAAAAAAAAAAAAAAAATCTTCTGCATCTTGCTTTTTAAAATGCATGTTCATTTGGTCACTAGAGAGAAAACACTCATCCTACCTCAGCCATAGTAAAAGCAGCTGCTGTCCGTCACAAACCACAGCCAGTTTGAGTGTGTGTGTGAGTGTGTGTTGGTGTTTGGGTGTGTGTATGTGTTAGAGTGAGTGTATGCCCCCTCCCTCTAGATACCACACACACTCCACTATGCCAGCAACAATTAGAAGGCGTTAAACAGAAAAAAACACAGGAGAGAATGAAAAGAAAAAGAGATGAAGCTACTTATGAAGTTAAGAAACATAAACACTCAAGCTCTTTCACTCAAAGGCAAAATAAGAGCACAAGGCTAATTCTGGTATGTGCTATACATCTATTGTTGTATATTATGTAAATTTAGTTTGTCATTTTAGTCCTTCAGTTTTTTCTAGCTGATATTCATTTTATTTTAGTGCAGTAAACAACCTGTCCTTCTTTCATTCTTTCTTTTTGTAGGTTAGTCACGTCGGCTTTATTGGCATTTTAACAATATACTGTACCGTGCAGTCCACTGTGAAACGAAACAATGTTCCTCCAGGTCCAAGGTGCTACATCAAGCAACATAAACTGACAACATAACACAGGACTACACAGTACTATAAACATTTAGAAGAATGAAATCAAATTAGATCAACTAAAATAAAAATGCATAAGAATAAGAGCGCAAAGTGCGGTGTATGCAACATTTAGTGCAAAAGGATAGTTCACCCAAAAAATAAGAGTTTTGTAGTTTTTTTTTGTTGTTATTGTTTTTTTTAATACAAACGAAGTTGTTTTGAGAAATGTTGGAAACTTGTAACTATTGACTTCTCCAAATGGAAGTCAATGGTTCCCGGTTTAAAACATTTATTATCCTTACTGGAATGTTACTTAGATCTTTCAGTTTTTATTGTCTTACTATTCTACCACAGCCTACAAAACAATTGATGTACCTTTAACCTTCTATAAGGTTCATATTAAGAAATTTTCATGATCATTTTAAAAGGAGGAGCGAAACAGTGGCTCAGTGGTTAGCACTGTCTCCTCAATTCCTGGCGGGGTCAGTTGGCATTTCTGTGTGGAGTTTGCATATTCTCCCCATGTTGGGAGAATAGACAAAGACATGCGCTATAGGTGAACTGAACAAACTAAATTGGCCATATGTGTGTAAATCAGTGTGTATGGCTGTTTCCCAGTACTGGGTTGCAGCTGAAAGGGCATCGGTGCGTAAAACATATGCTGGAAAGGTTGGTGGTTCATTCCGCTGTGTTGACTCTCTGATAAATAAGAGACTAAGCTGATAGAAAATGAATGAAGGAGTTTTTAATAGAAGAAAGAAACTCAAAACTTGCTTGGAATCACTTGAGGGAGAGCAAATAGCGAGTAAATGTAGATTTCTGTGTGAACTATCCTCTTTAATAGTGTCGGTACATGTTAAATGGATCATGGACACCAACAAGATTTGTTGTGCTTTTTAATTATAATTATTAATTTCTGGAAAACTAACCTAAACAGCTTATCCAGACCAAAAAGTTTAAAAAATGAAGACACAACATACTCAACATACACAACAATCTGTGTTGTCCAAGAAACTAGTTTATTCTCTAAGGCAGACTTCATCAAACTTGTTCCTGGAGGTCCGGTGTCCTGCAGATTTTAGCTCCAACCCTAATCAAACACACCTGAACAAGCTAATCAAGGTCTTACTAGGTATACTTGAAACACTCAGGCAGGTGTGTTGAGGCAAGTTGGAGCTAAACCCTGCAGGGCACCGGACCTCCAGGAACAAGATTGATGAGCCCTGCACGAAGATCATGCCAGCTTTTTGGCTATTTCTTTATATATATGTGCTCAGCATATAAGAGTGCACCCATCTCTCATTTAAAAGAATATTATCTATAGGATACTTTATTATATTTGTGCATATACATAAGTTTGGTCAGTACTGAAGCCAAATCTGGAGCTAATCTAACAAAATAACTTACAATTATGGTAAAAAAATAAAAAATAAATAAATAAATAAATAAAAATCGCAGCCCAAATATATATGCAAGGGAAAATCAAAATACAATTTTCAAAAATAGCAAAAATCAAGAGAAACAAAAAATATATACAATTTTGTAATTTGTTGTAATTTGTAATTTTGTTCTTGCACTAATATATATTACCCATATTCACTGAGAAAGGAAAAAAAAAATCATTTTCACAATGTAGTGTACTCATATATGCTGAGCACTGAGTGTGTGTGTGTGTATACAGCTCAAAGTGACATTTAAAGGCTTAACTAGGTTAATTATGTTAACTAGGCAGGATAGGGTAATTAGGCAAGTTATTGTAAAACGATGGGTTGTTCTGTAGATAATCAAAAAAAAAAAAAATTTTGACCTTAAAATGGCTTTAAAAAATTTAAACCTGCTTTTATTCTAGCCTAAATAAAACAAATCGGACTCTCCCTAAGAAAAAATATTATCAGACATACTGTGAAATATTCCTTGCTCTGTTAAACTTCATTTGAGAAATATTATTATTATTATTATTAAATTCTGACTTCAAATATATAAATAAATATATATATATATATATATAAATAAAGAAAAAATTGGCTTAATTTCAAGACAACTTTAAAAGAGATGTATCATAGACAACAGTTGCTTTTTTGCAAATTATTTTCAAAATTAATTTACAAAAATAGCTTGTTAAAAAGGGAAAAATATATAGTATGTATAATTTGTCTGAAAACCACCTCAAATTTGGCTTTTCTTTTAAGGAAAAAAAAACACCACTCAAACTTATTTGCGACACTTTTAAACACGCTAATGTTTCAAAAACACCTTTCAGGATTGAGACAAAAATATTTAATTAAAAAGCTAAATTCTGACATTTTTAAAAAGAGTTATTTCTGGGCTGTGGTTTGCTGCTGATCTGCGCTTCTGCATCAGAGCAGGACTCCTTTTGTTCCTCTAATACCCTTTTGTAAAATCTCTGGCCGACGTTTAGCTGAAACAAAAGACAGGCCGGTCAGCGGGACGTTTGTCCTTCGCAGGGGTCGCGGCGGTCACGAGGCTTTACGGCCTGAAAGCGTTCATTAAAGTGAGGTCTGTTTTGTTGCAGTGCTGAATAGTTTGGACAGGAGGAAGGACACTTTCTTTAACATCAGAAAAGGAGAAGTTTGTTATTTAGGGAATGCTGATAAACACAAAGGCCTTTAAAGGGGGAGTCTGTCTTTTGGCGTGTTTGTCATTCCGCTATAGCTAGAGGTTTCTCAGATGAAGGGATCAATATTTATTTGTCCTGTAGATGATTTAATGGCTGCAGCAGCTGCTCAATTCTCATACGCGGCTCTACTGGGACTCAAAGGCAAATTATAAAGCTTTCAAGAAGTGATAAACAGAGATTGATCTTTATATAACAAATAATACATTCAATGAGCAGTTTGGATCTTTAAAAATGACTTGAAACACCATTCAAGTTCTATTTTACTGACATGATATAAAAAGGATTTAGTAATTATGGATGGGTGGACGGACGGACGGATGGACGGACGGACAGACAGACAGATTGATTTAAAATTTTAGCTGGAATAGAAAAAAAATTATAATTTTATAATAATTAATTTGTAATGGATTTAATTATGGTAGACTTAGTGAAAATAGTTTTAATAGTGAAAAAATTGTTTAAATAGTGTCTAAAATGCCATCTTTTAATCCAATAAGAACTGATTGGGTTGTGATAACATTTTGAAAACTGATAAATAAATCAAAAAAAGGACTTTTGCATTGGATAAAGACAAATGTAGGCAGTCAGGTAAACAAACATACAAACAGATTGTTCAATAATGTTTTAGTAATTTAACTATACTACTCAGGCATGTGATTGGCAGAGGATAAAAAAGAAGGAAGGACAAGCAAACTATGAAAGGGCAAAGCATCAGGTTGTCTGCTTTGATGACAGTAAACCTCACAATGAATTTATTTCATTGAAATTTTTTTCCTGTTATTTTGAATTGTCCATTTAATATTTTGATTTATTTTATTTTACCTTTGGATTCTTTTAATACTTTCTAGTTAATATTGCTCAATGTCTTCCTCGTAGTGCCATAACTCTATATGAATTTCGCAAAAAGTTTTCATATTTTTAAGTATTGTGCAGAAACTTTGCCACAAATGCAGATTAAGGAGGTATTCAGATATCCCTATATTGCACCACAGCACTTTAACACAATATCCACAATTACATATTTTAGAGTTTACCTTACATAATTACCTTTGAATTTGAGGTTTTATCTGACATTTTTGTCACAATTGAGTTGTTGACATATTTTTATTAAATGACAACTTTTTTACCATGTGGGTTTTTTTATAAGTCGTTTACATTTTAACCACTTAAACTCTGCTGCTATTTGGGGTTTTTCCGCCTGGATTTTGCCTACCCAAATTTAAAAGCTTCCCAAATCCACATGCAGAGGTTTAAATGCAAAAATTTGTTATCATTTTAAAGAAAACCCTTTGAATTTTCATAAAACGCTATTGAAAGTGTTTAAAATAACTGTATATGTCGTCTGTGTTATAATAAACACCTAAAAAAAGAGGCACTTTTTGTATTTTTTTTTTTATAAACTCAAATTTGAAAGTGTACCTTTTAGGTTGTGTGTGGTCTAGCGTGCTGTAATTAATTTTGGTGGTTCCTGCTCATGTCTGTAATCATAGGAAAAAAGAAAAAGGTCTCTACCATAATCTATGCAAAAGTTATTGCATTCCAACTGATGAGAGGTGCTGTACAAGCCACAGAGACTGATCCTTGTTTACATATTTCACTATTCTTTTGTTTGATCAAACATAATTCACTGTGTTTGGACCACATCAGACATATAAAAGAATTACTTATGCATATCACCTCAGAAACAGAGGAGAATGGCCCTGAAGGGCACAGCATAAGGTAAGAGATGACAGCTGTCTGTGCTATCTGGGGCTGCTTATTGATCAATAATGTATTGTTTACATTTGTGCGCCATGAAAACACCACAATTCATTCAACAACTGTTAGGCATATGAATATAATTCAGTAAAAAGAATGCTAGAACTGTATGAGCACCAGCAAGAGCTTTCATTTGAGCTATAACTTATACATGTGTCATATAAAAAAAAATATGAAAATGAACCAATGTAAAATACCTAGCTCGGGTATCCAAAATACTGTGTATTTAAGTGTAAATAACTTTTATACAGTAGTATAAAAACCAAAGTGATGCATATGTGCATAAAATATAGATTCTACCCTTTCAAACGACACCACTTACGGGGGTCTGGTGCAACGCTAGCCCTTTAAATCTGAAAGCGAAAGTCGATGTCGTCACGGACCCGGTACCGGGTCCGCAGAGTTTAAGTGGTTAATACTTTTTATTTAACAAACAAATGTTACACACATACTGTTTGCTAAGGAATGCAAAAACTTTGAAGTTCAGTATCTCAAAATCATTTAGAACACCAATAGAACCTTGTAATTCCAAGGTTATGATATAGCAAAGTCAGCTAGTGTATTGTTTCTGACGTGATTCATATTATTATTATTTTTTTCAGTTATACTTGTTTTTTTAAGTGTAAAGCAGTTTGAGAATTAAATTTTAAGGTTCTAAATAAAAGAGTTATTATTTTTATTATTGCCATAAGATTTTTTGCATATTAAAGTCTCAAACATAAACGTCAATGAGAAGGTGAATAATGCTCCTGTAGAACAAGCGATCAACATTTCTTGTGCAAAGAAACACAATGTTAAAACAAGGAGAAAGGGTTAAGTATGTTAACCTTAAGGACATCTATGAGCCACTGTGCTCCAAAAGAAAGTTTGCATTCAGAAAAACATCTGAAACGTGTAGTTTGGAGCAATATTGTTTCTGTTTTACTTCAGTTTCTCATCAAATCTTCTGACCAACAAAATGCTCTTTAGTATCTGACATGCCTCACCCCCTTCGAAACAATTGCTTTATGCGCATGCGCTCAGCCACTCTCACTGGCAGAACTGCAGTAGCAACAAAACACTGTTGGGGTTGTTTTTTCAAAAGGGGAATGAAGTACCTTATCAAAGTCTTCCTGCGTGGCTCTCATCTCCTTCCAGGTCTTGTTAAGCAGCTGAATGCAGATGCAAAACAGCTCCTCCAGTAGACGGTCCTGAGCGAAGAAGATCGGGTGATAGTCTGAGCCCGTCTCAGAGGCTAGAGAGAGGAGTAAATAACAGCTATTAAACAAATAAGAAGACCAACTATATATGTTGAAATTATATCCGTCTCACTGTCTAAAGCAGAGATGCCAAAAGGTGGGCCCCGCAGGCCAAAGTTAGCTCATTGTAAGCTGTGATTTGGCCCACCATCCCATCTAAGAGGAGAGTAATAATGATGGAGAGGGTCGGGGCAAATGCCTTTAACACTGACTTCAGAGACGGTCATCACCTTTTTTTGTTTGTTTTATTGCTGTTTTAATTGTTTCAATAAATTATGTAAATGATTTAGATTTTTAAAAATGTAAATACTGTCACTCATCGGATGGAGGACTATTCAGAAGACATCCCGCAAGCAAATCAAGGCACAAACTAGTGTAAGTCTGTAATAAATTAGATTGTTTTGTTTTATCTTTAATAAGTTTATTATAAAATGTATAGATTCATATAAAATACTGTATTAGTTAATATAAAATACAGTATTAGTTCATATAAAATACAGTATTAGTTAATATAAAGCAATGTTTTTTTTGTTATTTTTAAATAAATTAGGAAATTACCCATGACAACTACATTTATCTTCGGCCCACTAGCCTCAACCAAGTTTGGTTTTTGGCCCTTTGTAAGAAAAAGTTTGGACACCCCTGGTCTAAAGGTGCTTAGACCATTTTATAAAAAAATAGGTCACCAAAAATGAAAATCCAGTCATCATTTACTCATCCTAAACTTGTTAAGTTGTTGAATTTCTTCTGTTAAGCACAAAGGAAGATATACTGAATATAAATAATAATATTTTACTAATACAAAAATAAAGGGTCAGGTCAATATCCTCAGCATTAAATAAATGGAGATCTTTTAAACAAATGTTACTTAAAGGAAAATAATTAAATGCTCTTTTTAAATAAAAAGTAACACATTTTATTAAGATGAATTGTTGGTGATTGTATGGGTGTTAATGGTCAGACTGGGTAACTATATATGAAGGAAAATATAAAGGAAAATTAAGACCTGTTAAAAAAAGATTTAAGACCTACAACCAAACTGCAACCTCCTGCTCTCTTTCATGAAGCTAATACGGAAGAAACTCAAACTGCAATTCATAGAAATTCCGCTAGTCTTGGCTCTACAATAGAGCACATTTGCATTGACCCCAATGTAAAAATGGCCAACTTTAAACAGAAAAAATGTGTTTACAGCCTGGTAGAAAGAACAATTTTTGTGCAAATTATATATAATATTACCCTTCATGACAACTGTGAGGGTAGTGAAATTTTTTATAACTTTTCCGTTTTCTTTATATTAAGTTACATTAAAGTCTGTATAATTAAGGGCATGGTCACTTGAGTGACAGCTAGGTCTCGCCAGTGGTCGTCACTTCACCTCAGCTGATTCCGGCTGATTAGCTGCTGAACTCGGCATATACATCATATTTTTGTTTTGTTTTCTGTGCCTTTACACACTCAGTTTCCTTTTGGAATTATTTCTTACAATTATCAGATAATATGGCATGCTGTGAGTATATAATTGTGCTTTTTAACCAATTCACGTGGCCTCCATTTCCAAGATGAGTGAAATGATATACTTATATACCATATCTATTAATGTATTAATGTATTTTTAATGTAAAGCCTAAAACTTAGCTAAGACATTAAGACTTTTTAAGACCCCGCAGATACTCAGGGTCTGCTGCCATTCAAAATTTGACAAAGGTTTCCTAAGAGGGTTGGGCTTAAAGGGGTAGTTCACGCCAATAAATTTAAATCAATTAATAACAAATGACTTATTTCAAAATATCTCCTTTAGGTGTTTAACAGAAGAAAGAAACTCATAAAGGTTTGAAACATGTTGAAAACCTGTAACCACTGACTTTCATTGTATTTGCTTCTCCTACTATGGATGTCAATGGTTGCAGGTTTCCAGCTTTCAACTGACAAAGAAACTTACAAAGCTTTGGAACCACTTGTGTGTGAGTAAATAGTGAGTACATTTTTATTTTTAGGTGAACTATCCCTTTAAGTGTAGGGTAAGGCAACAATACTGTAAGCATTTTTTTAACAGTGTTAAAATATATATAAACCACATATTCACACACACAAACAGTAAAGCCTTGATCTGATCATTGTCACCATCTCCAGCATGTGTCACTTACGAGGTTCTCCGATGCGCAAGATCTCGCACAGGATGAGTGTGAGCTGGATGCTGCTGCGGGCGAACGGACACTCATGTTTGTCTTCTCTGCTGCTGTTCTCCAGCACAAACTGACACAAGGACACACAGACTATGAAGGCTCTGTGCAGACTGATGTGTACTTGCCTCAAAAATTAATATATTTATAGAAACTCTCACTCACCCGGCTGTATGCGTCAGGATAACGGGAGGCAAAATATGCCATTGTGTCCAACGCCAGTAGACCTGGAGGACACCGGCTCAGATCCTGACCAGGATTACTGTTATTCTGACAAAAAACAAACATAGAGCCTTAACTAAAATAAGACTTGATGGTTAAGTTGGTGTATTAGAAATTAACAAAGCAACTGTGCATGTGATATTTAAAATATAATATTTAAACTTTATACAGTATATACAGTGGGAAAAAAATTAGTCCTCCACTGAAATTTGTATTATTTGAAAACACTTTTTGCCAAAAAAAAAAGAACATTTATTGTTATGAACATTAACAGTTATAAACATTTTGTGCAGATACAATATCATATACATACAAAAGTACTACACTATTCTGCTTTTTCACAACTAAGAACCAATGACCATAAAAACAATATAGGTATTAAATTACACAATAAATGTAAAAAGAAGTTTATAAAAAAATAAATAACAAAAATAACTAGAAATAAAAGTAATAAATAAATAATTTAAAAATTAAAATAATAAAAAAGCTTTGTTCCTCTTCATCTTCAAGATCAATGGTATCACTATAATTTAACAAAGGTTTCCATGTTTTGTAAAAAGATTTTAAAGACCCTCTTAATGAAAACCACCTTTTTTCCAACTTTAAACACAAAAATTATTCTTTTCTCCATTTGTCATATGAAGATGGAAATGTTAAAGAATAAGCCTCCTTGCCAATAATGTGGTGGAAGCCACAACGTATTGTTGTTGAAGGCAAAAGGGATTCGAATAGTGCTGTTAGAGGGTTCGGAGTGGCTGATATGTTAAAAGTTTTACAAAAGTATCAAATATTTTAGACCAACACTGTCAATCTTGGACAAGACCAAAACGTGTGTGTGTGATTTGCTGGAGATTGTTGACACCTATTACAAGTATTAATTCTATTTGGGTATATTTTATCTAATCTGGCCTTTGTGTAGGGTAGTCTGTGAAAAATCTTGCATTGGATTAAACTGTTTCGGGCACATATAGAAGAACTGTGAACAAAATTGAGTATATAATCACATTCTATTTTACCCTTGTTCCCAGGTATTCTTAGGTAATTCGGAGGAGTCAGAAATTAAAGAATTTATTGACAGATGATAGAGACTATCCCTTTTCTGTCTGGGTTAAAAGAATGAATGGTGTTCATTTTTTAATCAGGAGGAAGATTAGGAAACCGAGTAATCTGATTTTGTACGAAACGTCTTATCTGAAAAAAACGAAAAGGAAAAAAATGAAAAGTTTTGGGAGGATGAAACTTTTCAGACAAATCTGAATATGACAAAAATATACCTTTATCATACAAGTCCTTAATGGTATTAAGGCCCTTAGAAGACCAGTCACGAAAAACAGAATCAAAACACAACGGTAGAAAAGATACATCCTTAACTAAAGGTGTTAAAGTGAACGGACTTATTAGCTCAAAGTGTTTCCTAAAAGTAACCCATGTTTTAATAGTATTGATCACCACTAAACTGTCCGAGACAATTCTACAATTTATAGGAAGCTGAAAGCAAATCACTGAAAGAAGGGAAAACATTAAGGATAAAAGTTTTAATTGGAACTAGATAGGATGTTTGGAAACTTTTGAAATGCCAGTCCAATGCGAAAGCTTGTTGATATTATAGGACCAGTAATACTGCTGAAAATTTGGTAAAGCAAGGCCCCCTTCTGACTTGGGAAGTTCAAAAATATGTTTAAATTTCTAATTTCTAATAACAAATTTCTTGTCTTTGACATGACAGTATATAATATTTTGCTAGCTATTTTGCAAGATACTAGCAGTCAGCTTAATGTCGGTCAACAACATGATGTGAAAATAAGGGATATGAACTGTTTTGAGGATTGCATAAGAAAGGGGCAATGCCGCCTGTAATGGAAAGGAAGAAAATCCTGACATTTTGATATTTATTTCAAAGTGTTTTCATGCCTAAATAAAATGAAAGCACAGAACAAATTCACATTTAGGAGCAAGGGGCGTCCCCTGATGGTTCGGTTGTATGGATTAAATGGGAGAATTGGTTCTTTAATGTTTATTGCCACCCCTTGATTAAAAATGAGGAGAATTACGGGAAAATATTTTCACGAGATGATAGCGCGATAGAATTGTAAAATACGGGAGAATCCTGGGAAAAACAGGAGGGTTGACAGGTATGGTTTAATGTGCAATTTGATGGCTTAACAGTAGTTAGTTAGACAAAAGTAGTTTGTTCTGTAACCACTGACTTTCATTGTATTTGCTTTTCCTACTATGGATGTCAATGGTTGCTGGTTTCCAGCTTTCAGCTGACAAAGAAACTTACAAAGCTTTGGAACAACTTGTGTGTGAGTAAATAGTGAGTACATTTTTATTTTTAGATGAACAATCCCTTTAAGAGTAGGGTAAGGCAACATACTGTAAGCATTTTTTTAACAGTGTTAAAATATATATAAACCACATATTCACACACACAAACAGTAAAGCCTTGATCTGATCATTGTCACCATCTCCAGCATGTTCTGTAGCCAATTGAAAAAAAGGTGGATAATAATATTGACCTCAAAAATTGTTGTTGTTTTTATAAAATGTAAAAACTGCTTTTATTCCAGCCAAACTAAAATACATTTCACTAGATATGAAAATTTGAATTCTGTGGAAGTTGCCTAGTAAAAACATTTTTACCAAAGAATAAACATTTTATGTGTGTGTTGCAAACAAAAAAATTAAAGGTATGTATGCCCTAAAGAATAATGATGAGCCTTTGAAAATAATGCCCGCCTGAGATAGAGAAGTAAATCAGAAACTTGGGTGTGCATTATTTTCAAATAAATCTACAGTCAATTACTCCACTTATAGTTTAGATTAGATTAAACTTTATTGTCATTGCACATGTACAAGGCAGCAAATGCATGTTAGGTCTAACCAGGAGTTTTTTTATTATGTAAATATTCAACACTAAATAATGCAGTGTTTATGGGGATACACCTAAAGAAAAACGTTGTTTAGATGTTGCAGGACTTATGTTCTTAAACATCTCAGGCAAATTCTTTTGTTTTAATCTATTTTGTTTGGCTGTTGTAGGCTGAAGTAATTAGAAATTGTTTGGTGTTGTTTTATAAAACTGTAATACAGTCAAGATCTGCCTGGTATTACTTTAGCTGTGCGGTTATGTGTAAATAATCAACAAATCTGTAGTATAACCAAACTCACAGAAAAGCCGAGCTTCTTAAACTCTTTAGCACATAGCGAGCGTCTGCGTTCATTACTCAGTCCACTCTCGCTCTCCGTCTCGAACGCTGCCTGACGCAGCCCGTGCAGCATTTCCCTCTGCTCCTGCACAAAACACCACAGAAAAATCAGGACAACAGTGAAGATGCTAAGAAAATAAATGAAGCAGAAGAAGAGTGAACCTGGCTGTAGGAGTCCAGAGGAGTCTTCATGCGGGGCTCCAGGTGGTTCAGCCTGACTGTCTGCAGCACGTACAGGTAATGGGCCATTTCATCTCCTACTGAACTGGAGCTGTGGATGATGTTCTGCACACAGATTTACACTCTTACTGAAGTGCACTGGAACATGTTTATGCTAACAGGATTACACTCCATCATATGAATGAACAAAAGTTTAGACTCTCACCTTGTGAATGTACTGCCGCAGGTTTCTCTTCTCAAGAAATTCAAAGAGCTCCTGAAATCATTTCAGACTATTTAAAACTAGACAAACTTTGATAAAAAATTAGATAGACAGCAGATAGAATGATAGAACATTAAATAGTAAGACAGACAACGGATGGATGGATATAATGACAGATATATAGAACAAAAGATATATAAAACGATAGAGAGAATGATAGCCAGATAGATAGCCAGATGGATGGATGGATGGTCAGACAGATACATGTATATGTAGATAGATATGATATGCAGATAGATGTATAAAACGACGGATATACAGAACGACAGAGAGATGAAACGACAGAGAGAACGATAGACAGCGAATAATGGATCAAAATATCAATGGATCAAAATGGAGCAAAATAATCTTATCAAATTTCGAAAAACAAGATTATTTTGCTTACCCCATTGACAGATTATTTTGCTTGATTTAAGAAAAAAAACTCACTTCGTTTTAGCATATTATTTTTTAAAACAAGACAATATGTTTTACTTGTCTAGACAATGCTTCTTGATTTAAGAATTTGTAGATATTTGGACTAGAAACAAGACAAAAAAATCTAAGTAAGAAAAGCATTTTTTGCAGTGTAGGTGTATAGATATGTAGATAGAAGTATAAAACGAGAGATATGAAACCACAGAAAGATAGAACAATAGAAAGACAGATTTATAGAACAATAGATAGATGGAAAAACAAACAGAACAATAGACAAGAGCGAGCGACAGACAAACAGACAGACACATACATGCATAGATACATACATACAGACAACGGATGGATGGATGGATATAACGACAGATATATAGAACAAAATAAATAGAATAAAACGATAGAGAAATGATAGCAAGATAGAACAATAGACGGACGGATGGACAGATAGATAGATAAATGGATGGACGGACGGACGGACGGATATAGATAGAAATGTAAATATGTAGCTAGATGTAAAAAATGATAGATACATATATAACGATAGATAGATGGAACGACATACAGAGAGAGAGAACAATAGACAGAGCAATAGACAGAGCGATGGATGGATGGACGGACGGATAGGTGTATAGTTTTGTAGATAGAATGATAAAACGACAGATATAAAATGACAGACAAATAGAACATTAGATAGACAGATTTATAGAATGATAGACAGACAGACAGACAGACAGACAGACAGACAGACAGACACAGACAGACAGACAGACAGACAGACAGACAGACAGACAGACAGACAGACAGACAGACAGACAGACAGATAGATAGATAGATAGATAGATAGATAGATAGATAGATAGATAGATAGATAGATAGATAGATAGATAGATAGATAGATAGATAGATAGAAGGGATAAATGGATATAACAACAGATATATAGAACAACAAATATATAAAACGATAGAGAAAATGATAGCCAGACAGAACAATAGACGGATGGATGGACAGACATATAGATAGATGTATAAATATGTAGATATTTATATTTAAAATTTATCTATATGTAGATATTTATTTGTTTATAAAACGACAGATATATAGAACGAAAAATAAATGGAACGACAGAGAGAACGATAGACAGAGCAATAGACAGATGGATGGATGGATAGGTGTATAGATATGTAGATAAAAGTATAAAACAACAGATATAAAAAGACAGATAGATAGAACAACAGCTAGACGGACAGATTTATAGAATGATAAATATATAGAACGATGGACAGAGAACGTTAAACAGCACAATAGACAGACAGACATTTATATAGATAAAACTGCTACTATGTTTGAAAAGTTTACAAACATTTGACCAGATTATATCATGTTAAAACACATTTCTAGCCAGATTTGACACTGCTAGCAAATCTTGGCACATTGCTAATATGCTCAAAACACTTCTAGCATGTTTCTAGCCTTATTTAACAATGTTTTTGACCGGTTGCTAACATTTTACTGGCATAGCATAACAGCATTTTATCATACTATTAACATGTTTCTAACATTTTTTTCTGTATTGTTAGCATGTTTTTTAACGTGACTTATATCACACAAGCACATTTTAGCAGGTTGCTAAAACGTTTCTGCCATAGCTTAACAACTTCATCATGTAAACATGTTTCTAACATAATTTTCCATACTGTTAGCATGTTATAACATCATGGCTTATCACTCTAGCCTGTTTTAGGTTGCAACATGAACAAAGATTCAACATGTTTAATCAGGTAATTTAACACAGACCTACAATATTTTAACATGTTGCTTTTGTATGTTTCCAACAAGATTTAGCCCAATAGCCATTATGTACAGTATTTCTGGCATGATGTGTTTTAACCCGATGTATGTTTGTGCTATGAGGTTCAAGTTAGTAAACACATTGACTAATGGAAGCTTATTGTAAGCTGTGACTGACTTAACACACAGCTAACATGTTTAAACCCCCTGCTTGTTATTTGGGACATGATTTAAGACACTAGCATTATTTACGTTTTTTTCTTTAATGATTTTCCACTGCGAGGGAAAAGTGTTTGTAACATGACTTAACACACTACAAACATATTTTAACACATGACCAGCATGTTTTGAGAATGATTTAACACGGGTAATAGTTTTCATATGTTGCCAGTGCAATTTGACACAGCAAATAACAGTTTTTTAGTTTAATATTTTTTCTCAATGTAATTGTATCCTGTGTTGGAAATCTAAACCAGATGTCCTTATAATGAACGTTTAGACTAGCAAAACAAGCAGCAGTGATTGAAACACTTCCTGATTTGGACAGATGGTGGCAGTAAAAGCAGGATCTGATCCGAGTGTGTCTGACCTGTCTGTCTGCTTCTCCTCCAGCCTGCAGCAACGCCATCAGCAGAGCCATGGCCTTCGTCTGCAGCTGCTGGTTTGTTCTGTAGTGTTATTTAATGAGGGGACAAAAAAAGAAAAGGAAAAAAAAACAGACAAAATGAGAAGAAAGGTGATTTAACAGTCTAGACCATGTTCATCTTAAATGCAGACATGAGCTACAGGAAAACAATTGCAATGACACAATGCAAAAATATTATTCTTATTATTATTAATTAGTATTATTATTCAAATAAGTTGGTTGGTATTTATTTTATACAAACAATATATTAGTTATGTAATCATTATTTTATACATTTGTATAAACTTGTTATTATAAATGTATACTGTTAATATTACTTAAGTGATAATTACAGGTTTAAAACTTAATATCTTATCAAAATATAAATATAAATTATATAATATATTTAAAATTATTAAAATACACATTAAAAGATATAATTATAGTAATATAATAATAACTGTAATTACAGGTTTTATCTGATAAAACATTTCTCACTTATAAAACATTTTTATTCATATCGACAAAATTAATAAAAGAACTATACAAAAATTATGATAACAATTACCTTGTCCCCAAAAAACTTAAAGGTGCAGTGGGTGATTGTCATCAGAACATTTTTGTTGTGCTGGTTGAAAGTCTCTTCACTGTCCAATAGTTATGATTAAAGTAAATGATCTAAATGTATTTATATGTATTTTTATGTTCTGGCTAGCTAAGCATAAAACTAAAAAATGTTCATCCAATTAAATTTTGTTGGGCCAACATCTCCCATAATTCCGATAAGTAGCCCAAACTGTCAACAAATGTAGATTTGGACTTCTGCGCATCTCTGTTTACGCATACACGCCATTGGCGCGTGCCCGCCAGCATGCAGGCCGCACACTCACGACACGTGCACATGACACAATCTCAGTCGCGGCAAAATCAAATGCTGAATCAAAACTTTTTAAAATCCAGAATCAATATTGGAGTACTTTTGTACGCTGGAGGAAGGACGACTCCATGGCTAAAGTATTTCTGTTAGACAGGTAATGTTCTGTTTTAAGACTATTTTAGTCCCCCAAAGCTGATGTAGAGCGTGTTGTGTTATGATGAATAATAAGCACAGACGTATTGTTCAGCAACGGTGAAAGATTAATGTGACTATTTTCAGTTTCAAAAGAGCCTTTTACAGCATCAATAATGTAGATTTTTATTCAGTTTAAAGAGCGCTATTCCACCTAGCTTTTACTGAGCTGAAGTTGCTTTTATATTCACATTGGTTCATTTTTGAACAATGACAGCCCCTCTATTGTTTATAATGCTAGACTGAATATTTGCTCTGAAATAGCATGCAAGTGTTGCTTTGTAATAATTTCAATTCCTTTACGCCGCTGGCCAAACACTAACTACATTTCTTACTGGCGAATGACATGAACTAGTGGGTTGTCTGCTGTCGTGTCGCGGTGCGCGCGGTTACTCATTCAGGGGGCGTGGCTTTAAAACACAGTCCCTCCTAGCCGACCGAAGATAATATGCTAAGCGAATTGTGTTGTTTCAACTCACTTTAAGTACATAGTTTGAAAAAGGAGCAAAAGTCATTTTTGAGTGTATAAAACCTTAACAAAAATGAACTATAATTAAACTCTGGCAAAACAAAAGACTAGATCTTCATCCTCCTTAATCACTGTTCACCTACTGTAATGTATGTGTTTTCTAGTGTTTTTTGAGTGTACTGACTGTTGGCTGCTGTAGTTGCTCTTCTGCTGTCTACCTAGTGTGGATGGTGTAGTCTACGTACACCTGCAGATGTGAAAGGAGCCTCTCCAGCGTTATCTCCTGCTTGACCTCAGTGAACAGACTGCTGCTGCTGAGGACCATGCTCTCCAGGATGGCTAGCGACACCTGCTGGATGGACGTGTCCAGCACCTTCGCATTCACAAAACTGGCCATCTGGAAATATATCAATCACATCACATCATAAAGAGACGGTGACAATTATTAAAATAAAATTAAATAATGACTGCACATTTATACAAAAAGAAAGTTGCATTATGGGAGGCACTTTTCATTCTGTATCCCACTTTTATTATTTGGAATAATAATAATAACAATAATAATGGGAGACTCGGTGGCGCAGTGGGTAACGCTGTCACCTCACAGCAAGAAGGTTTTTAGTTCAAACTTCATTTGTATCTGTAGGTATAATTATTTTTTCAAGTATTATTCAAAGCTTTTTTAAATTAATAGTTGTTATTCGATATTATTGATATAAACTGATATAAATAAAGAAATCAGAGAGTGGAATTCAGTACCTTTTAAGACTTTTTCCACTACTTCAGGATTCAATCAGCAACATTTTAATTTCATTAATTTATTTTCTTGTTGGCTTAGTCCCTTTATTAATCTGGGGTCGCCACAGCGGAATGAACCACCAACTTATCCAGCATATGTTTTACCCAGCCTATGCCTTCCAGCTGCAACCCATCACGTGAACACGGGGAGAACATGCAAACTCCACACAGAAACGCCAACTAACCCAGCCGGGGCTCGAACCAGCGACCTTTTTGCTGTGAGCCCTCCTATAGCGATCTGCATTCCCGGGACCCGACCAGTTTACTTTCGGCGTGGGAATAAATTTCAGAATAAAACATGGTAGTGGTCGGAAACTCTTGTGTAATTTGAACACGAGCAGGTGCTGAGTGTCGCTTGCAATAGGCTGACTAGACTCTGTACCATCCAGCTGGGTGTTTTTTGGGATGCCCATTTAATCGCTGTACATTTTCTAATTCTTCCGTGGCCCAATATGTACCTACTATGTGTATAGAAATAATGATAATATAATATATGAAAAACAATCGGTAGTTGGCAAATATATTGAGTGGATATGCTTGCAAATCTGACTTTAAAAGAGTCAGTGCCTCACCAACCACAAACCTCACCACACATCACACGGCACTCATGTCTCATCACAAAGGGGCAAACAAAACTGACATTTAGACTGCAATCCTTGCTCAACCTACACTTTTATCTGTTATCTCTCTCTTTTGGTAGTGCCAAATTTTAATGAGAGATTTCGAAAACCAGATCTAAAATTAGTGGAACGGTCGGGTAAAAAAAGAGGCAAATCGGGAAGTGGGTGAACAAAGACTGAATATACGGCAGGAGCGGTATAAAGGCCCGTGCACACAGAGACGTTTTTTGCTCACTTTTTCAGTCGACGTTTACACCTCGTGACTAAATAAAGGGCGTCAATGTGTCACCAACGCGCAAAATGGCAGGCGCAAAATCGTCATTAAAAAAAAAACCCGTCTAATGCTCGTTTTTAAGTTGACGCGCCGTGTCAAAACCTTCTCCTCCAATCAGATCAGCACTTTTTATCACATATACGGAGCAGCTGAAGTTACAGTAAACAGCAGTTGGAGGCGCTCAAGCACAAAAGTTTCAATGCGAGCGCACATTGAAGAAGATGCCCTGAGGCGATATGAACGTTTAGCTGCTTATTGCTCTTGTGAACACTGATCATTTCTTCATTGCTAGAGCTGGAGCTGCTGCTTGAACCATCCATGCTTGTTCGAGTCACCAGTAACTTTTAACAACAAGTGTGTGAACTTCCTCTCCTCCTCTTCCTCTGTGTTATAAGCCAGTGTCAGAAGCTGAAAGTTGTGTAGCGCCTATAACGTCAAAGAGTGATTTTGCATACTCTTCAGCTTGACGCTAGTAAAAAGTGCTTTGGTTTGAATTCGGAAAAACGTCTCGTAAAACGCTGACGATAAACGCAAACGAAAAGCATCCCGGTGTGTAGGAGCCTTAAGACTGAATATACGGCAGGAGCAGGCAAGAGCAATTGTGAGCGAGATTAAAAATTTTATCCCGTGCAGATCTCCGCCCTCCTGTTTAAATATTTATTTTTCAAATATTTCCCAAATTATGTTTAACAAACTTTAAAATGCACGTTAAGCTGAATAATGGCATCTTAAAAAATATCTAGTAAAATATTATGTACTGTGATCATGGCAAAGATAATATTAATCAGTTATTAGAAATTAGTTATTAAAATATTATGTTTAGAAATCTTTCTATTAATCAGAAAATGGGGGAAAATATACAGCTGTATGTGCCAGACAAATTCTACAATTAACCAATCCAAATCATGTATTAGACATCTATTATTAGACTGGTGAAAGATTTGTAAAACAAAATTCATTTTGTATACAAAAATAAATAAATAAATGAAGTGTTTCTGCAAATTTAGTACCTTTTTGATAAAAACACTGGACAGATTCTCCCAGGACACAATACCATGGTCCATGAGCTCCATGAAAGCAGTGAGTGTGTGTGTCATGATCACAGGAGACCTAGAGTAAAAAAAAAAAAACACACACTTTCAACAGTTCAATCTTTACACTGCACTGTAATAAAACACAGTACGTCATGACAAAGTGCCAGGAAACTGACTCCTGAGCGTCCTCCACTATCTTGACCAAGAGGGAGTGTCCATCGCGACTGATAAACTCTTGTGCAAACGTGATGTCAGTGGAAACTATGGCCAGGAGATTTAGGGAGTCACAGCGAACGTTGGAGTCTGAGCTCTGAATGCCTTTATACAGATCTTCAGCACAGCGGCCCTGAAAATCACACAAGTATAGATCATGGCCATTACTGACCATACTGCTGTGTATGTTTGACTCAAAAACACACAGACTGAGATGTGTTTAGATGCGTGCTAACTGATAATGTTGTGTGAGACTCACTGGTGCTTTGGTTAAGCGCAGGATGCTGCCATTTTTGATGTCCAGGCGGTTCTAGGGCAAAAGTTAAACAGAGAGCCACAGTCATAATGCTATTATTAGATGGCATTAACACTTGCAGAAATGGGTGTCTCACAAAGACAGATGGACAGATAGAGTGCGAGAAACAGACAAAGAACGACATGTGAATATGCTGAATGACGAAAACATGCAAGCATTAAAAGAAAACAACTGAATTAGATAGAAGGGGGGGGGGGACAAAGGGAAAACGAGAGCTGTCAAGATAAAAACATCAGACAAAGCAGTCAAGACAGACAAATCAAACAGAGTTAAGACTGATTCTGCATCAAGCGCAAGCGTATGCTCTGGCGCAGCCTGCACGTGGACGCATAGCCCTCGCTGTAGCCGCCGCCGACGTTGTGCACATCTCAAAACATTTAACTACACAGAACAATGACGCGTAACGCACCGCTGCCAACTAGAGTTTTTAAAGTGTTATTGCAGAGCAACACAAGCAGCATGCAGAAGTATAAATGCACGACTACGCACAAGGCATGCACTGTGGGTCATGCTGATCACTCGACGCAGAAGCATAAACCAGGCTTAGGAAATCCCAGACAGTGCTACAAAAGCAAAGACAAACGAAAAGGCCCACATCCACTAAAGGGTGGCTGACAAACAGACAAAAGTCAAGACAGACAGAGCAGTCCAGACCAAAGAGAAGACAGACAAACAAACAGACAAAAGGCCACGACAAACAGAACAAACAAAACAGTCCACACAAAACAACATAAACCAAACAGAAAAGCGAACAAAAATGAAAGACAAAAGTAAGGATAGAACAGCCAAGACAGAAAGACAGAAGTGAAGACAAACAGACATGAAAAACAGGCAAAAGTCAAGAGAAAGATAAAACAGTCTAAACAAATCAGTAAAGAGAGTCAGAGACACACAGACACAAAGACAAAAAGACAAAAGTAAAGACAGAATGAACAAACATTAAAGACAGACAGAACAGAAAAGACAGAAATTTATGACAAACAGACAAAAGTAAAGACAGACAGACAGAACAGGAAAGACAGACATAAGTGAAGACAGAGAAACAGAACTAAGTCAAGACAGACAGAACAAACATTTATATTGATATAAAGCTTATTATTTTCATGTCATCTTAATAGCAATAACGGTCTTTTCAGGAGCTGTATTAAATGTTACATATAGCTGCCGCTTGCACGACTGGCAGCATCGTGAAGATTAAATTATTAAAAATCTCGCGCTTAAAATGTGTAGATTCAGTGGCAAATGCTGTTACCTGCAGAGAAGTGAATGGCCAGTGAATGGCTTTAGTTATTCTCATAGCGGACTTGAAGGCACTGAAAGTCTTTTATGCACTCTTGGAAAAGTGTAAATGCTGGATTAACATTCAGCACATGATAACTAATAAAATGTGCCATTATCAGTAACTTTAGGTAAGTCTGTCAGTGCTATTTTCATTCTTTCATCTTCAGCACTTCACATTTTCGTGGTTGTGGCTCCTGTCAACTGAAGGCAGAAAGCATTGACCGAGTGATTGACAGCTGATATAAACCAATCATTCCTGTTCAGTTCTAGAGCAGTGAGCCAATAAAAAAAGCACAAAGGCGGGGCAAGCATTGCAGACTTTTTTACTTCAGCAAGTTCACATAACAACTGTATATCTGTTCCTGAGTGCTGCGTTTGGCGTTTTTAGGTGCAAAGATGCATTCTGCATAAATGTCTCCTAAATCAGAGCATGCGGTATTGATTTTGCAGTGAAAACAATGAAAATGTATGTAATGTACTACTGTGAACTCCAACCGAACTCTCGTCTCCTCCACCAGCTGAGGGAAAAGCCATTACAACGACACAGATCACTGTGCCTATTTATGCCAGAGTCCGCGGAGAAAAAGTGACTGACAGGTGGTCATTTGTTTGTAACTTTATTTATTTATGGTTTGGTTATGGGTAAAGCAAAGACCATTTGGGTCAGGTAGTGAAAACGGTAGGCTACAATTAATTAATTTCTTATGAATTAATTGATATTTAACAACCACCCCCAACCCCGCCTACAACAACGATAGCATCGTCCATTGAAATGTTTCACATTAGACATTGTGCGATGATAAAATTGGTCAACATCGCCCAACCCTACAAACATTAAAAACAGATAAAACAGGAAAGACAGAAATGAAAGATAAACAGATAAAAGACAGACAGACAGACAGACAGAGAAAAGTCAAGACAGATCAAACAATCATGACAGACATAAAAAAACTGTAAGGACAGACAAACTCAAATGAAAGAAAAACAGACAAATGTAAAGACAAACAGAAGTGAAGACAAACAGACAGGCAAAAGTCAAAACAGACAGAACAAATAGACTGATCATGGCAGACAGACAAACAGACAGACAAAACTGTAAGGACAAACAGACAGAACAGTCCGAAAAACAGTAAAGACAGACAGACAGAAAGACAGACAAACACAAATAAAAGACAAACAGACAAAAGTAAAGACAGGCAGAACAGCTAATACAGACAGAAGTGACAACAGAATGAACAAACATTAAAAGACAGACAGAACAGGAAAGACAGAAATGAACAGATAAAAATAAAGACAGACAGAAGTGAAAACAGACAAACGGACAAAAGTCAAGACAGAACAAACAAACAGACAGACAACAGACAGACAAAACTGTAAAGACAGACAGAACAGTAAAAAAAAGACAGAAGTGATGACAGACAGAACAAAGAGAAATGAAAGACAGACAGACAGACAGAGGTGACAATATGGGCAAATAAAATGAAAGACAAAATACCCAAGACAGACAAACAAACAAACAGAAAAAAGACAGACAGAACAGGCAAGACAGACACAAGTGAAGACAGACAACAGTCAACAGTCAGCAAAAACAAACAGTAAAGACAGACAAAACAGTAAATACAGCCAGACAGACAAAAAGAAATGAAAAACCAACAGACACAGGTGAAGGCATGGGCAAATAAAATGACAAAAAAGACCCAAGACAAACAAACAAACGAGACAAAAATAAAAAACAGACAGACAGATAGATAGACAAACAAACAAAAAGACAGTTAGGTTGACAAAAAAAGAACTAGAATAGTCTCAAGTGTTGCATCTATACTCCAATTTATTCTCTCATTCTCAGAGTGAACATCTGGAAAGCTAATGCACATGCTGCTTAATGACGACACATGGCCCTACTTTGGGTGTACAAAAGCCCATTTGGAGCACAGCCCAAGATTTAATGGTTTATGTGCACAACCGTAATTCAAGCCTTCTCCTCCACTTGCCTGGGAACTCACAGTCTCCACAATCACTTCTATCACACACACATATTCATATACACAGATGAAGGAGACAGTACATCAACACTCACTTTCATCAGCTCTCAAAATCACATCTACATGATACAGACAGACGGAAACCCACCCAAATACTGACTGTTAGTAAAGGCATTTACAGTAAAACGACAAATAGTGGTTTACAGTCCTCACTCAGAACAGTGGTAATGACCTACAGATTCAGTGATGTACGTCTGGATCCCATCTGCATACTGGAGAGCATAGTTTTCAGGACCCGGAAGATTCCACCTTCAAAAATAATACAACACCCTTTACAAAAACACGTATGTCACATCATGGGCAAATATACATGGACATTTCAGCTATTGGAAAACACATGTGGAGTCAAAAACACACACTTACTTATCACAAACTTCTTTTATGACCGAAGTGAGGGGCTTTTTCTGAAACGAAATGAAATTGTGACAAAATCAATCAATCATTTGAATTCAGTTATATGATTGACTAACTGTACACTAGCTAAAACAACACAATTTGAGCTAATGAAGAGGTAATTTTGTCTCTGTGTATTAATTTCTTAAAAATAAACTGAACTGTAATTAAACAAAATATTATTTGTACATTTTTTCATTAGAGTATTTATATATATATGTGTATATATATATATATATATATATATATATATATATACACACACATATATATATATACACATATATA